TCAAGCTTACCTACAAGTTGAGGATAGCTCAGTTAATGTTGCCTCTGTTTATCCTTTCCACGGTCTGTTCTCACTTTCAAAACAGTTCAGCTAGTAAGACTTGCTGAAACAAAAATATTTCTTCAAATCTACCAAGTTACGTACAAACTTGAAAGTGGCGGATCGTTTGGAATGCAGAGTTATCTTTCAAAGCAAAAAATGAGCTCTTTGCGCTAAGAATTCCAGCATACATGAGACTGGCAATCATATCCCGCCGATTATAAATATTCTAGCACCAAATTTCCCAGTGCCTGCTTCATCATCATCATGTTTCATTCTTCCGCGTGAATGGGTTATTAACCCTTCAATATTGTCCTGGGCTTCGCACACACTGCGCGCCCCTGTCTCACGTATGAGTTCCCCGCATAGATTGATCGCCTTTGACAGTAGACGGGTTAAGTGGGGGAATGCTTGACGAGCCCCGGATTTCGGGGTATTAACGAGAATTCATCCGTACAAGCGCAAATCATTGATAGCCGTACTGCGTATCGTTCGGGACATTGATTCCTTTCATTGGTCCCATGATTTAATTTCTGTGGCTTCCTCTTTCGAAATTTCCCTCCTTTAGACACAACTATTACCAAATGATTTCTTTTCAGAAAAAATGAAGAAGAAAAAATTAACAGATGTAACTATACAATAAAATCCGAAGGCATAAACGTGATGTAATTTTAGAATTTTTTGCGTGAAAAAGGCACCTAGATTTCCCCCCAACATCTCTCACTATGACCTTGTAATGTGCGTGGAAGTCACAATTAATTCATATTCATGGTTTCCAATCTTTGTTTGAGTTCGAGTATTGAATACGATTGTAAGTTTCAGTCACCAGTTGAAACAAGTTGTTTATAACATTAAACAGTAATGATTTTGAAACATCGAAAATTGAAACAAAGAAATCATGATAAATTACTAGTAAAAACTTAATAAGTGTTTTCGTTTTTTTGTATTCTACGAGTGACTCAAGTTTTCATCAAAAAGAGGTAGATACAATACAATTAAATCCACTACACTTTCTATAAATACACTACACAGTCTACCCCCCCCCCCCCCCCCCCCCCCCCCCCCTCCCCCTCGCGTTAGAACAGTAAGTGGCTTGCTTGTGCTCTATCCCCTTCCTCTCAGACAATTTACATTTTGATCTCTTTTTATCATCATCTCGTTGTCTCCCCCCCCCCCTCTCTCTCTCTTCTCTTCCTCTCTCTCTCTTCTCTCCCTCTCCTTCTTTTTCTCCTTCGTATCTCATTATTTTACAAGATACGTCATCTCTTTCCGCGTTTCATCACCTTTATTCATGTCCATCAATTCTATTCCTCTCGCTCTCTCTTTCTTCTCTACTCCTCTTTCTCCTTTTCTAATATCCAACCACCCCCATCTCTGTCTCCTCCACCCCCCCCCCCCAATTATTTTCTTCATTTGTATCTCATTCATTTCAGTTCAGTTCAGCTCATTTTATTCAAAACCACACAAAGCATGATATAATCTGTTACATAAAAAAGAGACTGGTAATAGTACATCAATCAAAATATTCTAACTTGATTACATCATAAACTGAAATTACCAGGTACCGTCGTCTCTTTCCATTCTTTCCCTCCACCCTCTTTCTCTATCTCTCTCTTTTTTCTCTACTCCTCTTTCTCCTTTCCTTTCCAACCACCCCTTTCTCTCTCTCTCTCCAACCTTCCGCTTCTTTTCTTCCTTTGTATCTCATCCTTTTACCAGACCAGTACGTCATAACTTCCCTTCTTTTCATCCACTCTCTTCGTACCCCCAATCCTATTCCTATCTCTCTCTCTTCTCCATTTAACTTTTCTTTCCAACCACCACCTCCTCCCCCATTCTTTTCTTTCTTTGTATCTCATCCTTTTACCAGACCTGTACGTCATCTCTTTCCCTTCTTTCTATCCCCTCTCTCCGTATCCCAATCCATATTTATATCTTTCTTTCCAACCACCCCTCCCCTTTCCCTTGTGCTCCTTTGTATCTCATCCTTTTGCCAGGTACTGCTACTCTTTCCCGTCTTCCTAGTCTCTCTCTCTGTATCCCCATTCCATTCCCCTCTCTCTCTCTCTCTCTCTGTCTTTCAAACCACCCCCTCCCTCACACACACACACACACCTCTCTCCCTTCCTTTTCTCATATCCTTGTATCCTTTCCCTTTTATATGTTAGTTTTATATTGTTTTTGCCTTTGCTTGTGAGCTTTGGTGATATTCATTATTTATATTTCCGTGTACTACGTTTTTATCCTGTTCAGGACCATGATGTAAAACAGATTTTGTATCTACAATGTATATCTGATTCTTGTTATCCTGAATAAGTATATTTCAATAAAAAACAATTAAAACAAAATAATAACCCCCACCCCCTCTCTCTCTCTCTCTCTCTCTTTCTCTTCCCACCTCTCTCTCTCTTCCAACCATCTCCCTCTCAACACATACATTTGCATATAGCAATGTATTTATTGATAAACACAGTACTACTACATGTGTCACTATTTAAGTATACAATTTCTTTTTACATTACTTTCTCTTATCTTTTTCTGGTGGAAAAAAAAATCACCACTCAATTCATAAACACAGCCACACACAAAAAACAGAAGAAAAAAATCAAATTCAATTTTTGTTTTTACTGTCTTATGACATACAAATGATATAACATGCAGATTGTCACAACTGAACACATTAATCAAAACACGAATAAACCAACAAGTAATTCATAGGGCTAAATCATCTGATAATATCATTTCAAGGTGTAAAACAACAAACTGCATCAGGAAATAAATATCTTCTTTTTTTCAACAAAACAAAAACACAAAAAAAAATTAAAAACTCTAAAGGTGAACAAAAGTTACCCTTACAGCAACCCTGCCTGAAGGCTTGTTCAGATATGGCGTTGTAAACCACCACAAAAATGCTTCCGTGTTTCTTTTTTGAAAGTGTAAATGAATGTCAACTGTGCGCAACAAAGGACTTGCATGTATTAACTGGGGCCTTTGTGATAAGTTACAGACATGCAAAGTGTATCATACTACGTCATCAAAAAAGAAAAGAAAAATTGAATGAATAAGTTTTTTTTTTTTTTTTTTTTAATAGCAACGCTTATGCCGCATCATATCTGAACGAACCTTTACTGGAGAGAATACAATGTTCTATTATTCCATATCATGAAAACAGAATGAAAATTTTACTAACATATCCTCTAAATTCCCTGGGTGGTCATAGTTGGTCACACTTACGGCAATAATTTCTATAAAATAAATTATTAATTGAAAAAAACACCTCATCTAAGAGAATCATATTCAAAATAGTAAAAATTCAATTTCATTAAAACAGAATTAAAATTTTACGAAAATATCTTCAAACTTCCATGGGTGGTCATAGTTGGTCACTCTCTGTTCGGTTTGCTACAGCCAACAGGCAATAATTTCTATACAACAAAATATCAATTAAAAGAACACCTCGTATCTAAGAGAATCATATTTTAAATAGTTTAATTCAATTTCATTAGGTTTATAACAATAATCAAATAAAATTACATCAGTAATGGGAAAATGATTAGCAGAACTCTGTCATTAAAACATGACTCCACAACCATGAAAGTTCAATATATAACACGTTATTTGGATCAATTGAATGCCATGTAGCATTTGGGTATGTTGGAGTTGTGTTAAATGGTAAATTTCAATGCCACAGGACTCTGATAGAGGCTTTACTTTCAAAGCTCGTCAAACATAACCGTAAATAAGAGTATCCTCCTGCATGAAGTTTAGGAAAGAACAGTTGTTAAAAAAGTGTAAATTGATATAATTATATAAAATCATTGAGGGCTGTTTGCAGTGAAACATAAGCTGCAATTAAAAAAATAATTTATTAAAATAGAAAACTTTTGACAATCAAAATGCTGGCAAGAGCATGCACAAATCACAATAAAATTTGTTGTAGGATTCATAAAACGGCACAAATTAGTATTTGTTGATCAAAATATTCAATAAATAATTCCATTCCATCAATATACCTCAATCAAACAATATACATGTATATATATATTCACAGTTATTTAATATATGTACATATGCTATGGTACCTTACTTTATACATAAATATTATTACTTAATAGATACATTTGTACATGTAATACGGACGGAATTCAAATTGAAATTTTAGGGTGAATACAATTAAATAATGAATGTTAATCATCTATTGACACCTTCAAAATATGAAAAATGGTGGATGTTCATGACAATTCCAGCAAAATTCAAAGGTTTTAATGCCCAAATTTGATGTAACATTCAATTCAAATTACTAAGAAAAGTTGACTTAAAGAGAAGGTTGAGTTCTGGGAAGAGGTACAAAATAATTTGTGAGCGTTATCAATGTTTAATGCAAGTGTGAAAGAACATCAGATAAAAAATGTTCCCTGAAAAGCATGGCTCTACAGATGCCTTTATATTCTAAATATGGCATGTAACATAAAAATCGGGACAGATTTTTATGCCACGTTTGTGTAGTCCCATATAAATCTTTCTGTGTACAGTGCTTGTAACTTTATTTCTTATAATTTTGATGATTCCAGAACCTTGCATCAACCTTTTCTGATCGATTCCACAACGTTTCTTTCACAATGCAATCGTACGACCAGAACTCAACTTTATCTTTAAACATATCTTGAAAAAGATCCTACATGTTTTTGTATGTTATAAAGTGAAGGATTTTAAGAACTTGATGATAATACAGTAGATTGGCTTTTAACCAGCATTTCAGAATCTTAAACAAGAATGGACGAAAGAACAAATGAACAAAGTGTATAAAAAGCTTGACTACAACACCTCGATTCTGAATACATGCTCACATAGTAAACATTTTGGGTTCTAGTAGCAGGTTTCTTGTTCTGAATTGCTCGATCTTTCTGTACAAATAAGTGCTTCTGTGCAATGTGTCCGATACAACATCTTTTTTTCATGGGTAAAGGTACAGGAAAGAATCATTGGTCAATGGTCATATCAAGGGATTCTTTATCAATGGAGAAAATTGGTTGATAAAATAATTATGTTGCATTTGTATAGCAATTAATACAAAATGCTGTCTTTAAAAGATATTATTTCCCCTTCATCGGATTCTTCCACGCACAGTGTGCACCATCTCCACTCCCTGGGGAGTATTCCCACCACATGGTCCCCGTGAAGGCATTTGGCGATTACTAACACATAGGCTTTTGTCATCCTACCAGGTCCCTATTTCATTCCTGGGTATGGAGTGGCAAATGTAGATCAATGACTGGCCAAAGGACATTAGTCACATGTTGTACAGGACACATTGCACAGAAACGCACAAAGGCACTTCCCTGACATAGCAACATTCCATTCTCTTCCAAATCTAAAGGCCATCAAATCCATTAAATATTGGCGTATTAGTACAATTTTCAACACTTATCCATACAGATACAATTAACACAAGTACTGATTGGTCCAGTATGAAATTTCAGCCTAGAAGTTGGTCAATCACTCACCGATATCTATTATCAGTCTTATAAAACTAAAATGCCACTTGATCACATTGTTTCTGTGTGGTTGAAGGGTACTGTGGCCAATGATGTCCATTCTAAAACTCTTTAAGAACCACCCAATGAACGCCCTTCTCAGGGCCTACATGTAAATGACCACTTCCCATTCCTTTTGAAGACGTTAGAGTGGTCAATGGTGTCCAACCTCTCAGCTGCTTGAAGACGTGACATGTATACCTTCAAACCCCCCTGGGGGGGGGGCATTTCACAAAACTTGTCATCAGTGACAAATGACAGTTTTTGTGATAAGCTACTGAAATTCTTGCTTCTGATTGGTTATCAACAGATTTGTCACTGATTTTGGTCATTTGTCATTCAAAAAAGGCTTTGTGAAACGGGTCCCTGGTCTCTTGATTTGCGTAGTTGATAGTGTCCCGATTGATCAATGATGTCCAATCTTCAAGCCTTAGTGACCAACTCCTTTCCAACTGACCGACACAGGTGGTCAAGGATGTCCACTTGTAGTCTCTATAAGATGACGCAAGCCTTTGACCCTTCCTGGTTCCCAGGTTTCTTTGTGGATGATGTTGAGGTGGTGGATGCCGTTGGTGAAGCGGTAGATTGGCTGGGCGACTCCGGTTTTTTCTTCTTCCAAAACTGCCAAGCCTGTAGGAAAGTGCATGATTATAGTAAAGACTTTATTATCTTGAAGGGATTGGGTATCTTTGTCTTAGATTCTAAACAAATTCCTGGATTTCGCTCATGCTGCAATCATAATTATAAACCTTTAGGTCAGTCAGGAATCCCATGACGTTGACAAGCTGATCGCTCGTCTGATTTTCAAAATATTAATGATTGAAATTCGAAATTTCAAAAAAAAAATTCCTAACGATTTTTAGAACACTATAGTCTTTTGGGGAAAATGAGAAAGGTAAAACCGGTCACTCAAAGATTTTTACTTTTTGGAGGCACTTAATGATCATTTTGGAGCGCAATTTTTTTGAGGGGTTCAATATTCCACCATATCACAGACGCTGATAACACGTAAAACAATGCCTTTAATGGTCTTAAAAACAATAATAATAATAATTGGATCTATAAAGCACCTTTTCCAGAGGATACAAGGCGCTGTTTCCCAGTCTAAGGACAACTCTTTGAATTATTAGACTTCAATTAATCATTTTCAAACGAAGGCAGAAAGAAACAGTGGTGTAGCGTGGGTCCGTTCATCAAAAGGATACGGGTATAACTAGAGCATGGGTCTTCTTCGGTAATGAAATGTAAAGTAACAAGGTCAAAAAGTAGGGGCAGGTAGAAGGAAAGGGCCATAGAATTTGCTTTACATGTTCCCTCCCACCCCCCCCCCCCCCTTCCCTCTCCATTTTTTGCTCTCTTTCTCTCTCTTCTTTCCGTTTTTTTATTTTTGCCAGTTAAAAGGGGAAGTAGTATCTACACCACTCATAAGAACTAAAACTAGTTAACATATTTTTTCTGGCCAAAACATTCATTAAGCATCACAGGAATCTTGGTACTTCAAGAGAAAGGAAGAGTGAAATCATCATCTAGATATTCCATATAATGATTTTAAACTTTTTTTCTACAGCTACTATCTATTTCAACATGTGTATTACACAGACAGTGAGGAAACAGCAATGAGCAACAACCAGGGGGCATTTCACAAAACTTGTCGTCAGTGACAAATGACAATTTGTGTTATAACCTACTGAAATCCTTGCTTCTGATTGGTTATCAGCAGATTTGTCACTGATTTTTGTTATTTGTCATTGAAAAAAGGCTTTGTGAAATGCCCCCCAGATGACAACACGCTGCAAGGAAACACAGTCTAAACCATGAGAGATCAATGAAATGAAGAGCAGGGGCCCGTTTCACAAAACATGTCGTCAGTGATAAATTTTTAAAAGTTTTTGTTATAAGCTACTGAAATCCTTGCTTCCGATTGGTTATCATCAGATTCGTCACAGACTTTTGTCATTTGTCATTGAAAAGTGGCTTTGTGAAACGGGTCCCTGGAGATTAAAGAGAGCAAAAGAAAAAAAAGAAAAGCTCTTATCCGCACAGATCAAACCACCAGACAACTTTATCATTTACTTTCGTTTCATGTAACCATGAAATGACTCCCAATATCTTATTTCCTTGTATTCCATTCTTGAAGAAAACAAAACACTTAACGACTGGGAAATCAAGATCATGGAACAGAACAAAATTACAAGTACTGAAAAAGATTTGAAAAATGGTTACATTGGTGGCTCAGATGTAAGATAACGGCAGCAATAAAACATTGCAAGCAATGCGAAGAACTAAGAAGGAGGAGGAGCAAAATGAGCCAGAGGGGGAGGAGGAGGAGGAGGAGAAAAAGAAGAGGAAGAAGAATAAGGAGGAGGACAAGAAGGAGAAGGAGGACAAGAAGGAGAAGGAGGAGGAGGAGGAGGACAAGAAGGAGAAGGAGGAGAACAAAAAGGAGAAGAAGAAGAAGAAGAAGAAGAAGAAGGAGAAGGAAGAGAAGGAAGAGAAGGAGGGGAAGAAGGAGAAGGAGAAGAAGGAGAAGGAGAAGAAGAAGAAGAAGAAGAAGAAGAAGAAGAAGAAAAAGAAAAAGAAAAAGGAGAAAGAGAAGATGAAGAAGGGAGAAAAGGAGAAGGGGAAAAGAAGAGCAAGAAGGAGAGGAGCGAAAGAAAGGGAACAATAGAGAGCAAGACAAAGAACGAGAAGGAGAGAGAGAGAGGAGAGGGAGAGAGGAAAGGGAGAGAGAGGAGAGGGAGAGAGGAAAGGGAGAGAGGCGAAATTGGAGAAGGTTTAATAATCAATACACACAGACCACGATACTCCTTGGTACCTGGGCCCTGTCTTATAAAGAGTTGCTTTTGATCCAAATCAATCACAAGTCCTCTAATCAATCGTAAGTTTGCAGTCCTTCATCTCTTTTGTACATAGTTGCGATTGATATCAATTGCAAATAAGTTGCGATTAATATAAACTCTTTATAAGACGGGCCCCATTCTACCTATGAACAGTCTGGAAAATGGCTTCCCAGCGATAGGAAAATATAATGACAGCATAATTTCAAAACTACACAAAAACAAATTGATGTGCACACCAAAAGTCCCTGCTGTTCACAGCTAAAACTCACTCCAATGATCTCACATGGAACAGAGCAGGGGGTGTTTCACAAAGATCCTAAGATGAACTTATCTTTAAGTTGGACTTATCAATTATGGAAAGCCATAGCATCCTTGAAAATATTTTGTAAAAGTCATTTTAAAAGGCATAAAACGTTGATTCAAATCATTCATATTATCTATTATCATGGGAGATTTCGTATTCTTGATGTGGAATTTATGAAAAGTCTAAAATACTTGAATTTTCACTGTTGAATATATTTTGTTTTAAGGGCTACAAATGGCTCTCAATAATTTTTAAGTCCAACTTAGAGTTAAGTTCGACTTAGGATCTTTGTGAAACACCCCCCAGGCATTGCGCATGCAAATAGGAATCAAACACTATCAATGCACTTCTACTCATCCTACAAAGCAACTAGCAACGTTAGGGGCAACATAATATAGAACTTACAAGTGTATAAAAGTAGAAACATGATTATCACAATTTTTCAGCAAAAGTGAGCATTTCATCGGAGTGTGTGTCCAGGCATGTAAAAACATAAATGGTTTTTCATTGCTTTTAAAAGGTGGCAAAATAAATTGAACAGAAAACGGCACAAAATCTATATTATATCATGTAAGCTTAATTTCATTCCATTTTGTTTTCTTAAGCAGGTCATTATGGATATTGAATGTTAATTTTGTTAAGGACTTGGTTTCATATCTCTGGCAAATTATTCAAAATAATTAGTGAATTAGGTGCAGATTGTAAAATAATGTGATATTATACCAAGATATAAATTTTACAAAAATGAACACTTTGAAAAACACAAGCCTGTACCCTCCCTGGGTAAGCAACAGCCCTCCTACCAAGCACAAACTTAAAAACTATTAAGTCTACAGATTTATGATTGATATTAAAGGTAATACAAAGTTTTGGTATGGTGTCATGAATTTGGTTAAAATGAATATATTGTATGCAAATGCGATCCTACAATATTTAGTGATCGTTGTCGCGGTTGAAATCAAGTCTTTAAGTTATGAAATTATAAATAATAAACTCTTCATATTGTATAGCTACCTTTCAAGGTTAAGATATTAATTAAGCTAAAAAACAATGTTTCTTGACTAAAATCAACCGAATAGCTAGTTGTTCCCGTTTGATATTTATAAATCCCAACTACATATTCTGAAATTTTCAGGGTCGCAGCTACCATTGTACGGCCGTAGGCGCTATTTGAAAAAGCACCGGTAAATGTTTATACTCATTTTTTCTCGAAAGCAGAAGTGTTTTAGGGGCTAATTTGTTTAGTGCTTATAATGCATCTACAGGGGCATCCAAATTTATCCAAATTGTAAAGAATTACTATCCACCCAATTTCAAAATTTCCCAAAACTTTGTATTACCTTTAAATTGTAATCGATTTGAATAAATCCAAATTATTTACGAGATGAGGGCGAGGTGTGCCCAATATTTAATCAACATTCATGGGAATAAATAATAAAATATTTAGATTTTCTTCTGAATGACTAACCTTGGGTTCAGGATCTTCATGTTCAGATTTATTTTCCGCCGTCTTAGACTGATCTGTTTTCTTATCTTTGCTCTCATCGTCATCGTCGTCGTCATCATCCTCCTCTTCATCATCCTCTTCATCATCCTTGCTCTTGCTAGTTCCTGGCTTGGCTTTGGCCGAGTCCTTTTTCTTTGTCTCTGTGAGTTGGCAAGGAATCGTGATGTAAATGGTGTGTTCCTTTTGAAGTTCTTTAATCTAAAAACACACTGTATGTATACAGTGTATTAAAGGCCCACTGTAATAGTTGTAGCTCCTTGCTCCCTCTATATAGAAAACAATGCCTAATTGGTGACCATTGGTCCCCCATGATGCTCTTTTTCTTATGTTAATTTGGAGCAGAGTTGATGAGATAGCCACCTGTCCAGTTCCTTCCTGGGTGGTCTAATACCTCCTAGCCAAACTAGTACAGATGGCCTTTAAACGTCCTAATATCAACTCTCAAGTTTGTCAGCTGTACTGAATGTGCAATGATAAGTGGCCAGATAAAGATACAAAATTATGGTCCTGTTTTTATCTCAATAAATGAAAATCAAAACAGAAATAATAGGTGCAAAATAATATACAATGACCAGCATATATAGAAATCGTAGATGTATTAAAGGGTCACCTGTCTGATTATCAAGATATTTATGATTGGAAATAGAAATTTCATTTTTTGTTTTCCTTATGCTTTTTTTATAAAAACTAGTCTATTGGGGAAAATGAGTATGGTAAATCTGGTCACTCAAAGAGCTTTACTTTCCTGAGGCATTTTGAAACACAATTTTTTTTTAAGGTTTCAATGTTACACCATACCACAGACACTGATAATACGTAGGGCCATGCATCTCAGATTTAACATCGTTGAACGTTGCCTTAAAGCAATGTGCAAATCCAGAATATTGTTATTAATCAAGATGATATCGTATATACTCAAACTTTTACCCTTCACTGTCGGTGTAGTTTCTTCTTCTGATTCCTCCTCCTCTTCCTCATCTTCCTCTGTCTCGGCCTTTTTGACTGGCAATGGACGTTTACTTGTTTTTGTTGGCCTCTCCCGATGACTGCTCTCCTCCTCCGTTCCGTCTGAGTTGTCTTCCTCTTCTCCAGTCCTCTTTGGTTGTGTTTTACTCGAGTTTGGTTTGGAAGCTGCCATCATCGACAAAGTCATTTTGCCTGTACATTGTAGGATATTACACATGTAGGTCCCCGTCTTATAAAGAGTTACGATTGATCCATTCCAATCGTAAGTCCTCCAATCAATCACAAGTTTGCAGTCTCCTATTTCTATTGATATCAACTCTTTATAAGACAGGCCCTGATTGGTTTGCTCTGCTACTTGTTTGTTTGAATAATTGATTTACAAATTAATAGAACTGTACGTCTCTGAAAGAATAAACTGAAATAGCCATCTTGACTCTCTGAAGTCAATATAAATGTAAACTTTCAAAATTAAGACATTTCAATGGAAATCATGTCATTTTGTTTTAGTGGCAGTTCATTCACTGTAAATAATATTGTAAAGAAAAATTGTTTATAAATTTTTACCTTTCTTTGGTTGAGTTTTTTCTTCTTCTTCTTCACTCTCAGATTCCTCTTCCTCTTCTTCTTCCTCCTCCTCTTCATCTTCTTCCTCCTCATCCTCACTTTCCTCTTCCTTTTCAGGCTTTTTCCTTCGGTCAAGCGGTACAACTTCTATTGAGATTGGTTTACCTGCCTGCTGAAAAACAAAGGATAATGCAGTCATGCCTGCTTTAGCGACCACCTGTAAAGAACATCACCTGTCTATATCAAATTAACATTGTCACTTTATGTTTCCCTTGACTATCTTTTCTTATTGAAACTTGTCTTACAGGTTTCTCTTTCATATGCTGTATCCTAATCAATACTTATTTTTGTACAGGTTTGTAGATACATTTTGTTTCCTTTTTTGCACTAGTGCAGCTTGAGCATTTAATTTCAAGTGGATTTGACACAGGTCTTACAAATTTGACCCATTGTTATTATAACTACTACTACTACAGGAACCTATACTTAATAGAGACCCGTCTGTCTAGGAGGCTGTTCACACCGGCAGAGATAGTATCTCTGCGGTTTGGAAGGTACAATGTCATTTCGGTCCGCCCAACAGCAAGCCACGGCGAGCCAAAACGCCGTGCCACTGGAGCCTCCTCTTGGTGGTGGTCCACGAGAGTTAGCGCGGTCTAGCGCGCGCTAGAAAAAAGGGGGTGCTACGATAGACCGCGCTATCTCATTGCGGTGTGAACAGCCTCTAGCTCTGGACTCCTGTGGGCACCCCTAACTACTTTCTATGTATCATGTTTAAACCCAAACTTTCAGAAAATTAAAAAAGTTAAGTGATGTCTCAATTACAATTCAATCATTTTGTAGCTTTCACAAAGTTGTCACAAATCTCAATCGAGATTTGTGAACTTTTCATGCATGTAAAAGTTTTGGGGTTTTACAATGATAAAATGTGTCTAAGACTATTCTTAAAGAAGACTTGAGACAAAATAATTGAGACTTAAACAAAATATAGAATATAAATGGAAATGCACAATGGTGCTTTGTTTGATATGAACAGAGAATTGTAGTAGTAATCATATTTTAATATGATCAAAGCAACAACTATTTTACTGATTGATATAAGCTTGTGAAATAGTTGCACTGGATTGGCTGTCAGCAAGATATTTACACTCAAGTTAACTGTAGTTAATAGAAGTGGGTATTTTTCACATCAAAAGAAAAGGAAGAGGATGTCTGCATGCCTGCATGAAACTTGAAAATTCGCTTGAGACAAGTAGATGCAAGTTGGAAGAATCAGGAAACATCAGATAAATTTGTTATAAGGAAATGTCAGTATCGTGCAAATTGAAAAGAAATGAAAGTGAAACTAAGCATGATAAAAACTATTCATTTATAGGTTTATAAGAAAGGTTTGATGATACTTTAAACAAGATTAATTGCTCAATTACAAAAGAGATGTTAAGCCAAGGTTATTTCCTCTACACAGAAGAAATACAAAAACACTACCTGGATAAAGAATAGTTATATTGCATAAATTTCTTCATCCTTATTCTCCCCTACCCCCTCCCCCATTCTCTCTCTCTCTCTCTCTCTCTCTCTTCCTCTCTCTCTCTCTGTCTGTCTGTCTGTCTCTGTCTCTCACCCTCTCTCTCTCTCTCTCTCTCTGTCCCTCTCCCTCTCTTTCTCTCAGCATTCCATTCAATCTTTTAATCCAATCTGTTTAAAAAAAATTACTATAACTTGCTAATAGATATAGATATCTACATCTAGATGAATTTCCACTACTAAAGTACACCTGTAGTACATACGATGATCGATGGCAATATAATCAAAGCAGATGAAAGCAATACACATACACAATTTTGAGATACCAAGCTTACTTCTTTTGGGGACTGCTTCTTAGAACGAGCCATGATTACAGGTTTCATTCCTTCTTTAGTCCCACTCTTGGAAAAATGTGTCTGGAAAATGCAAAGTGTGAGAGCGGGGTTTGAGGGACTTAATCACAAAGGATGTCACTTTGATATCAAGGAGAGGAGGTGAATTGGGCATACAGGTGTACGCACACAACTTTGAGCTTTGAGCTGTGAGCTGTAACAATTAGTCTAAAGTGATACAGGCAATAACATAAGGAGTTCTGAATATCAACTTTTGGAAAAATATTAATATTTGTTTCCAAACGATGATATTCAGAAATAATCACAGCATATTTCCTCTACCATGTAGTAGCTGCATGATTGATAAAATATATGTGTAGAAAAATTGGGCAGTTTTCTTTTTTAAACATTACTCTATAATAATTAACTACTATTATTCACACCCTCTTCCCCATTTTGAAATTTCCAAATGATAAAATAATAAGTGGTTTATATAATGTTAGGTATAAACAACCATGAAAATGTGAACAAGAACTACTTTGAATTCACAGAATCAAGTAAGTTTAACACATGCATGGATAGATATTGTTATGATATGCTTGATAGACATTACATACTATGAAAAACAACAAAAAAGTCATGAACCTGTAGATATTCAATAAAAAAACTGTTAACATCACAGTGTAAATGCAGGAATTTACAAATATTAAAAGTCAGTGGGGTGAAAATGTGAAATTATATAACAAGAAAGATTACACATAGAAAAGATTAACATAAAGAGGGAGCTTATCACAGAGAGACTAAATAAATTAACAGGTATATCACAACAACAAAAAATATTGCATGCAGACGTAGATATCCTAAAAGGGTAGAAAAAAAAAACAAGGCAATTGCCGGATCAAGACTTGCCGACCTGTGACCAAATTATATGAATGTTTCCAAAGAGCATCCCTGACCAAAGTTTAGTTGCACTTGGAACAATGTACGCAAAGTCTTACATGTAAACTTTTCTGTATATATATAAACCACAAATGACCTTTGACCTTAGCATGTGACCCTTGACAGCACCATAGTGTGAAGGTCCCCACCATAGGTGAGTGAGATGAAAATAGAAATGAACAGAATGGGTTAAAGAAACATAACACAGAAAGTAGAAAGTTTACTCAAAGAAAAATTACAGATTGAAGAATAAAATGAAAGAGGAAAATAACAGAGAGAATAAAGAAACTGTAGAATATACACAACCAGGTGCAAAAGATAAAGGCTTGTTCGGATATGCGTGTTACACTTTTTGTCATCATAACAAAAACCGCCGCCTTGGTTTAGCCGCTTCATATCTGAAAAAGGCTCAAGGACTTACAGTTGCAAAGGGATCTTGGTCTTTAGGCACTTCTCTTTCCGCATAGTCGCTTTCTTCATCGTCTTCCATCGCACTGTCATCGTCGCTGTGTTTCTTAGGCTTCCCTGAGTCTGGTTCGTCTCCTCCACCTCTTGATCCATCAACCTCATCTAGAGAATTTTTAAAAATAATAATAATATTCAGCTTTTATATAGCGCTTAATACATCTCGGACGTCTCTAAGCGCTTTACAGATATACTATTACCCCGGTCATTGGATTCAGTGCTTGCCCGCACACACTGTGTGCACAATCTCCACTCCCTGGGGAGCATTCCAGCCAGGCGATACTTGACACTCAAAAACTGTTTGACCAACAATGACGGTGGCATCCTACCAGGTACCCATTTTAACACCTGGATGGAGAGTAGCAAGTGTAGGTTAATATCTTGCCAAAGGATATTAGTGCCATGTCGGGATTCGAAAACTCGACCTTCACATCTCCAGTCAAGATGAAAGTAAGATGAAAGTCAAAATGTGTCAGACAAAGACCGTTGATGAATAGACACCATTAGGAGGAGGCGGGTTGGCTCAGTCGATAGAACGTAAGCCTGCCAAGCCAAAGATTACGGTTCGAATCCAACCCAGGCATTGTGTGTTAACATGCCCCTCTACTGTTTCATAGACGCAGGCTATGTTACAGTCGAAAAACACTCTGTTCCTCGGATAGGACGTTAAATGGAGGTATAATTTCTTCAACACTTGTCCACTATACCAGGGCCCTGTTTCATTAAACATGTCATCAATAACAAATGTTGAAATTCTGTGACAAATTAGCTCTCAGCCAATCAAATGTCACAGTTCCAGTAGCTTGTAACAGATATTGTAACTTGTAATTAATAACAAGAGTCGTGAAACAGGGTCCAGGCATGTCTCTGACAAAGCTATCAAATTAATAATTTACACATAGAATTTGAAGGCATGAAAAATAAAATAATTTAAATATTGAATATCATTATCTAATAAGATGGACTACGAAGATGACATCATCAACGGAGAGTCAGAGGAACATTAAAGGTAATACAAAGTTTTGGTATGGGTTCATTAATTTGTTTCAAATGAAAATATTGGAAGCATATGCGATCCTACAATATTCAGTGATTGTTGTCGCGGTTGAAATCGAGTCTAAAGTTATGAAATTGTAAATAATAAACTCTTTATGTTATATAGCTCCCTCTCAAGGTCAAGATATTAATTAAGCTATATTAATTAAGCTTTATTAATTAATTAAGCTATATTAACTAGGCGTTGTGGCGTGCGCCTGTAATCCAGCTAACAGTGGAAGTTACAAACTGATTTAGTCGAGGACGCAGGTTCGAAACTGAGTCACGTCTTTCGGATGGTGACGTTAAAGGTCGGTCCCCAGACGTAAATAATCATATCTGATTGATACACGTCTGTAAAAACCGAATCACACACACACACACATATAAAACAATGTTTCTGGACTAAAATCGACCAATTAGCTATTCCCATTTGGAAATTATATATCACAACTACACATTCTGAGATTTTCATGGTCGCAGCTACCATTGTACGCCCGTAGGCGCTATTCGAAATTTATCAAAAATTACTGGGAGCACCAGTAAATTTTTATATTCAATTTTCAGGAAAGCAGAAGTGTTTTAGGGGCTAAATTTGTCCAGTGCTTGTAATACATCCACAGGGGCATCCAAATATTTCACGTTGTAAAGAATCACTATCCACCCAATTTTCAAAATTTCTCGAAACTTTGTGTTACCTTCAAACACATATTGTTTTACATAGCGTTAATGCCCTTCTGTCTCTCAAAATATGATGGCGTCAAATTCAAGGGTTCACCACCTCGACCCTGTACACGGTACTCACCATCACCATCACGAAGTTTCATCTTTGGTATGCTGTGGTCGTTGAGGGGCTTCAGGGTCATGGGCGGAAGGGTCCGAGAGTTCAGCCCAGAAGACTTGGGGGTCGATGCTGCCAGCGGGGGAAGGGTCCTGCTCAGCGGTGGGAGGGGGGATGGCTGAAAGGGTGATAGGGGGATGGGAGAAATGGAATGAATAATAGACAACAGATGGTGTTGACCTCCATAACAGATTTTCCAGCTATCACAACAAAAGTTGCTTGGATCAGCAATATATCACATCAATCAAATTTAAAGACAAAGGTTGCATTCTGAAAGATTGCATTGTGAAAGAAAAGGTGTGGAATGGATCAGAAAAAGTTGATCATGTAGCATGTAAGTATTGGAGTGTACTGCAAATCATAATAAATTTGGCCCAGTCGTGGTAAAGTAACAAGCACTGTACACAGAAAGATGTATACAGGACTACACAAATGGTGTCGGGCCTACTTACCTTGATTTCCTTATCTTTCTATGCTCATTACTCAGCCAGTATACATTTTCTACCAAAATTGTTTTGCAAATGACATTTATTTGTAATCTTGAACATTCAGTGTAAGTTTTGTTTGATTCTGTGAGAATTCATTTTCTTTTTTTTTACCAAGATTTAAGTTTATCTTTAACTGTACCTCTCTCTGTCTCCTTCGTAACCTTGCGGAACCCCCTAGGGATCCGTTCAGATCAATGTTGTTTGCCAGCTTCAGCAGGTTTGCCCCCACCACAGGGTCCTTAAACTTGATCTCTGCCTCCTCGGGTTCCGAGTCCGAGGCGGGGTCGCCGGGCGGGGCCCTTCTCCGGGCTCGGACTAGGGTGTGGCAACCACCGCAAGATACCTGGAGGGAGAGGAAGGATAGCAAGATTTGCAGGAACCACATGCATGCTATTAAATGAAACTTTAGCTCTCATTTTACATCAATATCTAGGGCCTCGTTGCATAAAACTAACCATTGATGGTAACTTAGCCATCAATGGCAACTACCATCTTGGTAACAGGGCTCAACAGCCAATCAAAATCAAGGTTTCCATGGTAGTTACCATCAATGGTAAGTTTTGTGCAACGGGGCCCTGACATTTTTCCACAACTGCAGAGCAATTATCACCAAAGCAGGTGTCATAGAACAAAAATAATTGTCTCCTTCATGACGTAACAATGACCTGGGCACAGTATTATGAAGAGCTGCGCACCGATCACACGTCCGTAAAGTTAAAAACTCGTATCTCTATAACCAGGGGTGATAGTGAGCACTAAAGAAAAAAATAGGTTTTTGGTTTTCCCCTCGACCACGGCCCCCTTGAGTAAAAAAAAAGAAGAGGATTCGCGGGGAGAAAATGGCATCTAACAACATTCCCCCCTTTCGAGTAAGAAAATTGGGAGAAAAAAAAAAGGCAAAATAGGGAAGAATAGAGAAAATAAGGGGGGAATCGGGGAAAATCAGGATAAAATAGGGAAGGGGAAAAAAATCAGGTAAAAAAAAAAAAAATCTTTATTTTTTTTTATTTTTTAAAATTGGGAAGGAAAAAAAATCGGGAAATTTTTTTAAAAATCGGGAAACCGATTTAAATTGGGTTTTTATCAGGCCTGTATAACACAGATTTGCAACCACTATCAAGCTGCAATTGATTTTAATCAACCATCATTCTTTATAATACAGGGCCCAGGGGGGTGTTTTACAAAGATCCTAAGTTTAACCTATCTCTAAGTTGGACTTAACAATTATGGAAAGCCATTAGCATCCTTGAAAATATTTTGTAAAAGTTATTTAAAAGGCATAAAATGTTGATTCAAAATCATTCATATTTTCTATTATCACGGGACATTTCATGTTCTTGATGTGGAATTTATGAAAAGTCTAAAATACTCAATTTTTTGCTTTCGAATATATTTCAAAATAAGACTACAAATGGCTCTCTATAACATTTAAGTCCAACTTAGAGTTTAGTTCGACTTTGAATCTTTGTGAAACAACCCCCAGAACTCTTTGATTACAGATACACTTCCACCAACTGGTCACTGTACATTTCTGAGAGAAACTCTGTACGATCTGTATATACCTTTGCATTGTGTTATGAAATATGATGTGTCGAAATGAAATGTGATGCTATTTTTAAATTGATTGTAAATTGTCATGTAATTCAGCTCAGGCTGCGAAATGATACTAAAACAAACTGATCTGAACTGAACTCATTTTCAACAAACTTACCTCTTCTACGAGGAAGCCATTGAAGCGATGGACCTTGGACGGGGTGAAAACATTGGAGAAACTCTCCTCGCCTTGACCCAGCTTGCCATGGCGACCATCTCCAAACGTGTACAGGCATCCCTTAGCTACAGGACAAAGGAAGATTTTACTATTTGGTTTGTTTTCAATCTCAATCTTTCGGAGATGAGCTTTTCATTGAAAATAAAATGGTGCAGTGACCTGATCAAACAATTTTTATGCGATTCTTGTCTCCATAGCAATACCTTTACCACTAACCCAAGAACATGCTTACTCTTCTAACTTGCTCATGTAATAACAACAAAAACAATAGCAACATTTTATCAATATAAATTGATCTAATAATTATTATCATTATTATTATTATCAATTCATATAGAGTAGCTACTATATAAATATACTCTACTGCGCTGTGATGAAAACAAGACAAACATATTCCAAATGGGGAATGTGAAAACATATGAGTCCATATCTGTTGCAGTACATTGGACTGTTCATGAATAAGAGTGATATAATTTAAAATAATCATTGAAATCTCTAAGTTGGCAACACAGAGTGAAATTAATCTTCATGTACAAATTGGAAAAACTGGGTTGATTTTTTTTTCATTAAAGGGATCCGGTAACTTTGTCTAAGATTCTGAAACAAAATCCTGGATTTAGCTCATGCTGCAAAGATAAACCTTTAGGTCAGTCAGGAACCCCATGACTTTTACAAGCCGATCTGATAACAAGATACTTATGACTGCAATACATTACAGTCTATGGGGGAAAACGAGTATGGTAAAACCGGTCACTCAATGATTTTTTACTTTTTTGAGGCACTTTTTGATCATTTTGAAGCGCTATTTTTTTAGGGTTTCAATATTACACCATATCACAGACACTGATAACGCGTAGGGCCGTGCATCTTACATTTAACACAGTTTCATTTAATATACTCTTTTTAAACCATGAAAGAGTGGAATTTAACATATAACTATTGCCAATTTGAGGAGGAAGAGCTGATTCATTGAGATCTTTAAAAAAAATCTGAAGTGCTAAGGGATATCAAATCATTTTCATCTTACCTGTGACGATTGCAGTATGGCAGTCTCCGCATGACACCCACTTACACCTAGTCCATTCTAGTCTGGCTACTCTCTTTGGAATGTTGGTCTCCAGATGGTCTGGTCCATGACCTAGCTGACCGCTAGCGCCGTTGCCGAATGTGTACACATGACCCTTTTCTGAAAGGGCAATCACAATGAAAGTAGACTCCTTGATATTCTTAATTCACTCAGGGTTTGGTTTTCTTAGTATAATTTCTGACAAAATTAATTTGGATTGAGTTTTTGATTTAATTGCTTCTCAGTTCAATAAAAATTCATGTCAGAAGAAAGTCAGAAATTGTATTTGTCCTTTAAGAGTGCCTACATGTGGAAATTTAGGCTGGTTCATGTTAAGAATCTACAAAAGAGAGTCATACAAAAGGGAAACTGGATTTGAATCAAGGAAGTAACACACCAGGGTTTTAACATATCATAGTGTGGCCTAACTGTAACATCTAGTCAATTTTTGTGGTAGGGTATTCTAAAGTGGCTCAAGGGCTATATACACAAACTCTGCTGAGTATCATCATAAAAGGAGAAGTAGAACTATCATTAAATGTAATCTCACCTGTTATTGCTGCAGTGTGTGCGTTGCCGCAGGAGACACTATCTACTGGCTCCGTGAAGAAGGATACGTGCTGCGGTTCGTTGACCCCTCCTAAATGGGCTTCTCCTAGCCCCAGCTTACCCCCTTCCCCTTCACCAAACGTGTACAGCTTCTTATCCTCTGTAAAACATGAAAACAATGGCATGAAATATCTTGCCAAACTGAATTGTCCCGCAGCAGCACTACATGTACATTTGCCACATTCAACCCAGGTGATGTAAATGGGTACCTGGCAGAAATTAATTCCTTGAAATGCTAAAGCGCTGTAATGGCAGCTGTGCTACAGCCAGGGATATAATCGGGAGCGCCAGGAGTGTCAAGTCTGACAGACATGAGCGCTATACAAGAACCCACTATTATTATTATTATTATTATAAAACAGATCTCTTCGGTTCTAATTGATAATAAGCATGACACTAACGATTCTAAAGTACATGTGAAGTGAAACCTGTTAAAAAAGACCGCTCAAGAAAAGCATGAGAAAGAGGTCTGTTCCTTTAGTACAGGTTGCAATAATAAACCATATTCAAGGGAAACAAAAAATGTAGGTGGTCGCTAAAGCAGGTTTGACTGTACTATGAAGTTGCATGACTTTGTACGTTTAATACTGCCCAGACAAAAGGTAACTTGTAATTTACATCCTGGCTGGGGATGTAAGTTTCCAAGGGCTGCGGGCAGCGGTAAGTCAAGATTTGTAAGAACCTACGTGAGAGTGTACTACGTAGGATGAACCAGGGACCTGTTTCATAAAACTTGTAACTATAACAACTTCTTAATTTCTATGACAAATTTGCTCTCAGCCAATCAAACGCCACTATTTCAGTAGCTTATAACAGTGGCTTGTAACTTGTTATTGATATCAAGTTTTGTGGAACAGGGCCCTGCACAGGAAACAAGGAGGGAGGAGGGAAGCCAAAATTCCTTTCATATTTTTACAGTAAAAATAATCAACAATCATGAGCAGAGAAACAATGTACCTAGTACCTGTATCTTTTGATACAGGTAGAAAAGCATGGGAACATATTTAAAGAGTTTCACTCAAATTTTTCTCTAATTACCGTGGCATCATTTCATGAAACTGTCATAAGTACAAGTTCATCGACGTCCCATTGAAATGCGTGATCAATTCAATACATGCGTTTCTATAGATTTACTTGTAACTGTTTCGTGAAAAGCTGCCCAGAACTAAAAAATCATCTTGAACTCTTACCTGTTAATAAGGCTGTATGATAGTAGCCACAGGATACCATTCTGACGGGTACACCCATAGACAGTTCCCTGGGTATCTGTACTTCTGTATCTTCACCGTGACCAAGCTGACCTTCCGATCCACCTCCCCACATGTACAGAGTACCGGAGGCTGTGTGTGTCAAGGTTCAAAGGTCAATCATACAATTTGGGTACCTCACATTTAAAGCTTCAGTCAGAATCATTTAATTTGTATCTTCAACATGACCAATCTGACCTCCCGATCCACCTCCCATGTGCAGAGGGTATGTGTGTCAAGGGTCAAAGTTCAATTATAAATTGCAATGCTCACATTGAAAGCTTTAGTCAGAATCTCTCATTTTTTAATTATCACCATGACCAAGCTGACCTCCCTGACGTGTAAAGGCTAACCGGAGGCAATGTCTGTCAAGAGTCAAAGGTCAATAATAACATTTGGGTTCCTCACATTGAAAGCACGACCCAGCTGACCTTCTGATCCACCTCCCCACGTGTACGGGCAGTGTTTGTAGCAAGGGTCAAAGGTCAACCATAAACATGTTTATTTCAATGAAAAGCTTTGTCTGAAGCTCTAATTTTGTAACTACACCGTGAGGTAGAAATGTTATCATTCGTACTATCCTTCCGACTTCTGTGAAATATACAAGCCCAACTGATGGTGTTCAGTGATTCACAAGGATATTATTGTTTTGAGAGCAGGTTGTAACTCAGACTATTGATTTTCAAAGAGCAGCTAAATTTTATTGTTAGTCCTTGATTACATATTACAGTCACACTGGGAAAATGAAATTCCATTCAAATTTACTCTTCTGAAACAAGAAATTTACATTTTCAGTGAGAAAAAAATGTATAAAAAAACAGCCAAGTGGTCCAGATTATTCAGTTTTATGTTGCAAAGATCACATTCTTGAAAAATTAATGTTCCTGTCGTTTGTTTACTTCAGATTGGCAAACTTTCCACTTTCAACGTTTTTGGGTGACATTGTAAAATACATACCAGTGAGGGCAGCAGAATGATCAGTGCCGCATGATAGCAAGAGATAGTCCTGTTCCTCTAACTCCTCAATCATTCTTGGGGCTTCATACTGTTTGGAGTCTCCTACCCCTAGCTGGCCCTCCCCTCCCGCCCCAAATGAGTGGAGGTGACGATCCTTGGTCAGGGCGATGGTGTGTACCCGTCCGCAAGCAATCTTGACCACGCCCGCATGCTTAAGACCTATAAAAGAAACAAAACAGGGGGTGTTTCATAAAGCTGTTCATAACGTTATGCATGACTTTATGAACGACTTGAATATGAAGTGCCAGATAGGATGCCCAAAGTTTTTCCTCATGTTTTAACAAAGTGTGACTATATTTCCAATAACCTCAATTAAATTATGGCAAAAAATATACTTTGCATTAAAAATGTTTGTTATAATTGGAATGTTAATCTACATCTGCACAGTTTAACTTTAGTTGATGCAGTTAAAAAAGATTGAGCATCCCATTTGGCTTTTCATGTTAAAGTCATTTGTAAAGTCATGCGTAACTTTACGAACAGCTTTATGAAACACCCCCCAGTTCCGTGTTATCTGATTACAATAGCAAAGACGAGGATTAGTAATACACTGTATTAAAGTAAGTCACTTTGTTGTTCCAAGTTGTACTACATGAGCAGATAAAGGTTATTTGTACCAAATTGTGAAACCCAACAAGACAAATAATGGATAATCAGTCAAGCTCATTGTAGTTATGCAATCCATATGCAATAGTCGGGCACTCAATGATAAACAGATACAAATTTCAGAAGTCGGGGAAAGGGGGGGGGGGTGTTCAAGGGGGGGATGTTCAAGTAGGGGAGGTGGAAGATATTCATGGAGCATCATCATCACTTAGGGAATTCCCCCTCCCCCCCCCCCTTCCCCAACACACTTTTTTTCATTTTCTTGAAATGCTCCCCTTACATGTATAGACTACCATACACTACCGTCATAATTGCTCATGGTCATGGTTCCTGTTTCAGTACATAGCCTGTGCTTGAGGTTCACCGCAAAATCATTCTAGCAATGGGCTGGAGCAGGGCAAATTTCTGTGTCAGGGCTGTTGTCATCGGCACATCATTGCTGAGCACCAAATTGTTTGGAACCAGCAACCTGGATGAGTTTGCCAGTATGACGTCATACTGCGGTACTCTATAGTTCTAGATTCTAAACCTTCATATTGTGTTTAGTTATGTTTTTTTTCTTTTCTGATGAGCTACATGTATACCTCCCAAAACAATGTAATATCCACATGGCCATTGGATTTATCAAGGCTCAATGTAATCACTCTAGTAATTATTTATAACTTTGATGATTTTTTTTCGGGAATTTCTCAATGAACTAATGTAACTAATGTAGTTTAGCCAGTTCATAGTTATAATCTGCGCATGGGCAGTAAAAGGTCATTTGTACTAAAAATGTGAAACCCATCAAGATAAAAACTGGATTCGTGCTCATGAAAGTTAAGTAATCTTTATTAATTTATTCTGATACACAAGTGGACTTTTTCTTCTCAAGAGGGCAAACAAAAGGTATTCATGAAGCACCTGCATCACTTTGGCAGTAATTATTCTAAAATGCATCAAATGAGACATCTTCAAGTGTTAAAGATCTGTGGACATTTCGGAATCATTTGTACCAAAGCTATACGAATTGGGCCTGGTTTCATAAAACTCGTCATCAATATAACAAATGCCAAATTTCTATGACAAGTATGCTCTCAGCCAATCAAATGCCACAATTTCAGTAGCTTACATGTACATGTATAACAGTTGTTATAACTTGTTATTGATAACAAGTTTTATGGAACGGAGCCCAGGTCTATTTACCTTTCACACTGCTTGGTTTGTTGACTGACTTTCTGTGGCCAAGTCCAAGCTGCCCCCAGTCATTGGCTCCAAATACATACAGACGTCCATTTTCTGTTATCACAACATCAAAGAAAAAAAGAAACGGGAATGGTGAGCAATTTAACTCTGGAAAGCTCCAAAATAGCTCCGGTAAACTAAAAAAATTGCCCTGTTAATAACAATAAAATACTTAAATATCACTCTGAGACGGCAGCAACAACAACAAAATACACGGGAGCAGTAACCAATTTAGATCTTGAAAGCTCCCAAAGTGATCTGGAAAATTTGTAAAGAAGCTCTGGTAAAAAAGTTAATTAAATATAACTTTGAGAAAATTGCACTTATAGGGTACAATACTAAAAGAGCTTTGGCAAACAGAAAACTGCATTACAGACATACTAAACATCAGGAATATGTTTGAATTATATAATATAAGGAAGGGGTGAAAGGGCATTATAAACTAGTAGGGGGAAAGAAATCATCATTATGTCGTGATTTATACTAATTCATGAGACAATGCAGAAATAAAGTAAAATCAATTATAAACATCTACTATACTGTAGTTTGTTGTGTTATTAATGTATCCATGATTGTTTATTTGTTTTAATGAATTATCTAAACTGCTTTAACAAATTTTACGTGATTACACTGCCTTATTTTTGTTTTCATTTCTACTATATGATACTAGTCAAAGTTATTTTCAACAATCACTCTTGTAAATTATTCTTTTGAATAAACAAGCTTCCTTTCTTGATATATTTTATTAATTGATTGTAAATTATGCACAATTCAACATTGTGGTTGCGACACATGATCATGTTTTTTCTTCTTCAATATATCTAAATACAATTTTGAATTGCGTGAGTGGGTGCTATAACCATCCCTCATACATAAATGATGTATGAAGGGGTGACCAAAGTTCGCAGACATTTTAGAACATATTACAAAATGTGATATTCGAACTACGATTTCTCATATTCTACACAAATTTATTGATTTCAATTATAACCAAAGGGACGGCGAAGTTTTTAACTACAGATTAGTTCAACTAGAAAATGTTATCGTCAAAGGATTTCGGAGATATCGCGATCTAAAAATTCGATGTCCGATCGTTCGTGCGCGCTGCATCTATAAAAAAGTCATAAAAACAACGAGACCTAACTTCACGCACGGGGGTTTACAGTTGATTTATCAAAAAGTGTGATCTATAAAAAACAAGGTAATATCATAATTTGCAAGGCAAGATATCATACAATCAGTTAGTACCACTGTTTACTTACAATTCTGAGGAAATCTGCTCTCAAATTGAAGATTTTCAGACCCTTATCGGTAAGTTGATCATTTTTCGGAACGGACGCAAAATAATGCAAAATTTGCCGATCTTTTGTCAATATTTTCACAATTTCGTACCCAATTCCAAAGAAAATTTCACTTCTGGGTAATTTTATGTTCCTCTTTCCATTGGTGATATCAGATTTTCGTAATCTTACTGTTTTTTTGAGATAGCGAACTTAGGTCACGCGCGAACTTTGGTCACACCACCATACAATGTTGTATCATAAATGGTATCTATTGTTTATTGACATTTCCATGGAAACACCTTCTTACCTGTCACCAAAGCAGAATGGTCATCTCCACACCTGACTTGCACCACCTTGTCATTACGAATCCAGAACTTGTTTGCAGTGTTGTCTGCAAACCTACTCTTGCCAAATGTGAAAACAGCTCCACTGTCTGTCAAAGTCCAAAGAAAAAAAGTTTGATCATCATGTTTTTAAAAGTTATGGATTTTTAAATATATATTCTGGCACATCTAGATCTAAACAAGGTTTTCATCAGGCAACCGTAATCTAAGCAAATTGGTTTGGTATGCGATTGTATTGTTTGCCATGAATCCTGTGAGAAAGTGTATATTATAAGTGAAGTCTTCGATTTTAGGAAAAATACTCCAAAAAAAGATAAGAAATTTGACACGAAACAGGTGAGTAACAACTTTTAAATCATGACCATTATTTCAACAATTGATGAAGATTTAGTTGATTTCTTGGTAGATCTATCAGGGCGCGACAAACCCGCTTGCCCGACGTCCCGGGGCAACCAAATTGAGCCGTCGGGCAAGTAAATCAAATTATCACTTGCCCGATTCGGGCAAGTGATACTTTTACAGTAATTTCCTAGTGTCCAAGAACTCTACCATTCACCCGTCAACTTCTTACCCGTCGTCAAAATCCAGAAGCAAAAAAGCGATCGTTCCGATTTCGAAAAAACTTCACAGACAGCTAGCCAGCTCAGCTAGTTCAGCGCGCATGCAACAGTGACACTTCAAGCCATGAATGCCGCTCCGCCTCCACGCACGGCCGGCCGTGAGCTAGCTAGAGACAGCTAGCGCGATCGTACCAGCTGCGAGCTTATTTGCGCTCTCTCTCTCTATCTCTGCAGGCCGCACCGACAGGCCTTTGCTATTAAATGATGTTTAGTCTAGTTTTCGCATACTTATCCGAGATTTATCGTAAAATATCTTCAATATTATTATTTAGTAAGAATTTACAAATTTTGGCATGATATTTATAGCAGTGAATGATGAAATAAAAATGTCCGTACTTTATTTAAAATAGTTGATTACCCATTATTTACATGACGTTTCTTGATGGAAGAGTTGACCCAAATTATTAACAGCTGAAAATTAGCCTACGTTTCCAAATGACAGCGGCTTGCACAGACACACACGTGCGTTGATCAGCTGTTTTTTCTCGATTGTGCTAGTAAACATGGAGGCACCGCCAGCCAAGAAAGCGAACTACGAACACAACAGACAACGAGGGTTCGTTCCGAAATGGAAGACGGAATTTCCATGGCTACAATTCAATAGTGATGAAAATACCATGAAATGTGGTATATGTGTGGATTTTCCTGCGATCGCCGATAGAAAGGCAGCAATGTACGTGGGGACGGCTAATTTGAGGAAACAGTGCATTCAGGCGCACGAGTCGAGCAGAGGGCATGTGCGGTGCGTGGAGGCGAGGAGGATTGCCCGTGGAAAGGACAGGCAGCAGCAAAATCTCCCGGCTTGCGTGCATCACCTCCAAGAAGAGGAAAGGGAACAAACGAAGAGGCTTTTTTCTACAGCTTACTATGTTGTGAAGGAGGAGATGAGCTTCAAGAAGTATAAGCCCACCATAGAGTTGCAGGTTAAGAATGGCCTCAAAATGGGAGCAATGTACACCAGCGACAATGCCTGCCGAAGGTAAGTCTGCTCTAATATTGGTGATGATACTGATAGATCTATATTTTTTTGGCAAGCAGGTAAAATGTGAATTAATTTAAACTTCGGAATAAGCTGCTGTGAAAGAACAGGAGGCATGCAGAACAGGAAATCTCATGCATAAAATTTAAGGAATTAGATTAATTAATGTAAACAGATTGTAGGATTAAAAAAAAAAAAGAAAAGAAAACTGAGATTCATGCTGAAATACTAATTTATCCTTAAACCAGTTTTTATACGATTCATATTTGAATGTAGGGAATAATGTCACTCAAACCTTTATACTGGCAACAGGTTGCTGCTACCTGCCCTGGTGATGCAGATTGCAGGCTTGTGTGTTTGTAATTCTTTTTGTGATTGTTTGTTTTGCTCTTCGGAAGACTAGAGTGTCATCCTTTTTTTTTTCTTACTCGTTTTTGTCAAAAATTTTGATTGGTTTTAATTGATTCTATTTATAAACAATCGGTCAGTCGCTTTGCTATACAAACATAGGGTCTGGGGTTTTGACTTTCCTATTTCTAATTTGTAATGCCCATGCCCCCAGGCCCAGCCCCTAAATAATTAATGAATAAAATGAACATTAAAAAAAAAATAACTGAATGAAAATAAACATTAAAAATCGTAGTAAGTTATGACACATACTTGGTCAATTTTGGATTTCTGATAATTGATTCACTTCCAGATTCATCCAGTACATACATGCAGATGTAATGGAACCAATGTTCGAGGACATTCGGAAGGCGAAGTATGTCAGCATCTTAGTAGACAGCAGCACAGACAGCAGCAACAAGGACCTTGAACTGATGTACCTCCGGTACATGAAGAACGGTGTTCCAGTCAACACACTCATTGGATTGAGAGAGCTGGAGCATGCCCATGCACTTGGTCATCTGGCTGTTTTAGAAGCGGGTATGTTTTTTTTTTATCAAGGACAATTTAAGCACTGATTCTTCCAATACTTATCTTCAAATAAGAGAAAACAATTGGACTCTAGTCAACTTTCAATTTTCACTTTTATTTCTTTTGCATGCTTCCTACAGTGTACTTTCATACAATAGTATTTGTCAATTAACAAAATGTTTAATTTTTTTTAATGCAATACAAATGTTAATAGATGAAATGCAAGTCAACTATCATATCATGAAGGAAAAAATATAACCTGGCTGTTTTTAATAGACAATAGGCCCAACACTGGGGATTACAAATGAAGACAATGTCAATTAAGAAACTTCTACTACTCTTTGTGTTCTGATACACACAGGAATGGATGAACTTCGCATAGATAACTGGAGGAGAAGAGTGGTTGGACTTGGAACAGATGGTGCCTCTGTGATGGTCGGACGAAACAGGGGCTTGGCTGCTTTGCTGCGGGAGCAGGTTCCTTGGCTGTGCAACATCCACTGCATGGCACACCGACTGGAGCTCGGCATTCTGGATGCTGTGAAAGAAGAGCAGGCCATGCAGAATGTACTGACTATGCTGGAGGGCATGTACAAGACCCACAAGTCGAGCCCCAAAGCATGGCGAGAATTACGGGCTGTTGCAGATCTTCTGGACAAGAAGGCATACAAACCGGGCAACGTACTAGGTTCAAGATGGGTGCCACACGTGCGACATGCCCTGTTAAATGTAATGAAAAATTACGAGGCAATCGTTGCTCAGTACGAGAACATGCTGGAGCAGAGGAGTGGTAGTGCTGAGATGCAAGGGCGAGCACGTCGGGCACTGCAACAGCTGAAAGATGAGAAGACACTGTTATTCATGCATCTGGTCCTCGACATCGTGGAGGCTGTGAGCAGGTAACTCTCTTGTAAATCAAATACATGTAGTTAGTAGTATACTAAAAAGCAAAACGAGATGAAAATAAAATACACTTGAATCGGAAGGATTTTTTTTTTACATTTTCAAATTGTAATTATTGTGCAGTGAATGAAATATGAAAAAGAAAATTAAACATAATTATCTGATGAAAAATATAGAATATATATGTAATTTATTCGTCTATTCATTCATGTCCATTTCTTGTTTTCCTTTTCAATCCAGACTGAGTCTTAAACTCCAGGAAGAAACTCTGACTCTTGCAGTGGCTCTTAGGAGTGTGACATCAGCTTCTTTGACCATCACAGCAATGAAGACAGCACCTGGAAAACATCTGGAGTCAATGAGTCGGGCAGTACAGCATGGCACTTTCCATGGAGTTCCCGTCAAAACCTGTGATGAGGCACAGCAAGAAGTATTCAATCGCCAAAGGTAACAATATATTCATTTCATTATTACCTTAATTTTATTTTTTTAGTTTCAGAGCAATGCAAAGAATCAAGTTTACTGTTAAACTACAAGGCAAAGGTATTATACATGATCATTTAACAGGTACATAAAGGAAAATCTCAATAATTCAAAGTAATGAATGATTTGGAATTGTAAATTCAGTATTATAGGCTTTATTTTTTTAACTTTTTAAGAAGGTATAAATGAATCAGTTCAAGTTTTAAACTATAAATCTTACATACCTATAATTCTTTTTAAAGTGAAGTGAAGTAGAAGTGGCTATTATTATCATTATTAATTATTATTATTATTATTATTATTATTATTATTATTATTATTATTATTATTATGATTATTATTATTATTTATTGACACAGGACCAGGATTGTGGACCAAGTCCTCAGCAGCCTTGATGGAAGATTCGAGTCAATGCAGGCTGATGAAGTTCTATCCTCAGCGTGCATTATCGATGTTTGGAAGTGGCCGTTGGGTGATCAGGAATCCTTGGCTGCTTACGGAGTGAGGGAACTGGAGTTGCTATGCAACCACTTTGACGATGTGCTGACGGGAAATGGATGCGACATCGCTGCTGCTCGTCATGTTGAGTGGCCAGAGTTGAAGCAGTACGTGAAGGATTCGGTGCCTCGCCAGCATTGGGCTCATATTTGGCAGGATATTATGTCAGATCCTGTGTGTACTGACTCCTTCAAGAACGTGCTTCATATCATTGAAGTAATTCTCATCCTCCCACTCTCTACAGCAGCATGTGAGAGGGGCTTCAGCCTTATGAAGCGGACGAAGACGGACTGGAGGTCGGAGCTGACTGTGGACATGCTAAAGAAGCTCATGTCCATCTCTCTTCATGGACCCTCCTTGGAACAATATGAGCCCACTGGTGCTGTAGCCAAGTGGCTGAGGGGTGGAAATCGCTACATAGTTAACAGACCTTAGCTTTCTTTAAACCATTCTTAGTGCCACAAACATGACCTGGCCAGTGGGACTTGTTCTACTTTCATCACAAGTATTCACTTCTCACAGGAATGTGTAAAATCTTTGTTCAATCAGTTTGTATTCAGTAACCGATTGATCAGGGAAGTTGTAATCCTGATGTCTCTATGTGTGCTAAAGGTTTCTTGTTTTATTTATATGCTGTAAATATTAAGTTAAAGTTTAAGAAGGGAAACACCTTGATTTACTTTGTGTTTATATTCTGTTTTAATGTATAGTCATCATCCAGGACCAGGTTGGAAAAGGGGAAGCACCTTGCTTTTATTGTGTGTGATCAAAGTTATGTCTTTCTATATAGTAAGTTTTATTGCACTGCCAGGTGACACATGAAAGACACCTTTATTATTTAATCTGCCAATGTAAAGGTACAATTACAACTCAACTGCTGTTCTTGCTTCTATATTATATTATCTTTAAATATCAACATTGAACTTTCTTGCCAGCCTTTGCTGAACAACTCACTTGTTTTATTTATGTGATTATTGCATTTGCTGCAATTGACTTACAGATTATATATGGCCCTGTTGCATAAATTTCAATACACAATCATGTGGAATCCTTGTCATACTGCTGATCATGTGATGTTGCACCATGGTACATGTGGCTACCATTAATGACATGTTTGTATCATATTTTTTACAACAGGGTCATTATGCTTTTTTACATGACTGAATATTAAAAACTTAAACCTGCTTGAACCATTCTACCTTGCCGAGATTCATGTGAATCTGATTATTTATGGAGAATCAATAAAATGCGTTTTTTAAACCTTCAACCATCCTTTGTTGACCATTTTCTTTGACTGTCACATATAGGTTATTATTCAGTACAGTTACACTGTACATGTATGTGCATTAATTTGCTATCTAAAACACTAACTTATCATTACGAGATAATAAATGCTTTAACCTCGAGTCCTTTTTCGCTTTAAAGTTTTGGGCAAGTGGAAATATTGTTTGGGCAAGTAAATTGAAAACCCACTTGCCCGACAGGGCAAGTGGTGAAAAAAATTCTTGTAGCACCCTGTATGTAGTAGGGTACCTCCACGTCGGATGTGATTCTAAATCTGCGCCAAAATATAAGTAATAGATCGAGACAACAACAACAACAACAAACTCTATACCATAGAGATATATACTTAATAACACTAGAGGGCGTACTCGCTCAAATTGCTGTGTGGACCTGGAGCTGTGGCCGCCATTACTAAGGAGGGCAGAAAAACGAACGACCCAACAAGATACTGTGCACAACATACGTGGAAAAAATTGGAGAAGCCAGGTTCGTGCGTTGCATTTGGATGTTCGAACCGAAGAAAGAAAGGGAACTGCATAATATTTCACAAGTAAGTTCTTCTTAATGTTATGTTGATTAATAAGGAGATTTTAGAGCTAAAAATGTAGTTTATGCAGTGACTGTAGTCTGTACCCGGGTTGTCTCATGACAAGCCACCGCAGCTCCTGCAGCAGCGGAGCGCGCCAGTCCACGCCCGCCGGGCTGGGGCAGGCATGGGTTAAGGTTCTGGGGATGGTGATGGGAAAATTCTGCTGCGCTGGAGTCGCTCGCAACTCCAAGAGCCAGAGAGTCCAACTCGGAAATATAACTCCATGAGCTTGATTCTATTAAAGAAAAGTCTAGAATAAAACGATACAATTAATTTTATCTTATCTAATTTCAAGATAAAAATCAAATGTCAACTTCTTTAGATCTATATTTTAACTATAGACTAGACTCTAGATCTAAACTCTACTCTCTAATTTCTAAAGCCCGAAAGGCAAAGCCAGGTTAGACAGATATAACCATCTGATATGGGTCATTTCTTTAATAAAACTGACATTTGTTGACATTCCCCATAATATAATCAGAGGTCTAGTGGAGCCAGACGCAGTCTCAGTAGAACAACCGACGATATAGAGAGACTGAAGCTTTTGGTCTAAGCCAGGCTAGCCTGCCAAATTTCACATCACAGGAGTTATCCAACTAGGCTAGGCTAGCCTAAAAATCCCACCGCACACTACACTATTTCTATCAAATTTGCTTATGACTTGCTGACATCATTATTATTTTATTTATTTGGCTGGAAGCTGCTTTCAGTTTCAGTCTTAAAAATCACATGAAATAGCATGAATAGTAGAACAATTGTCATGTTATGAGAAAAAACTCATTATTGTTTCCATTTGCTTTTATTGTAATGCAGGAATACACCCAAGAGAGGAAAGGATGTTACACACCACATCTCATTCTTAGTTAGAGCTGTGCCTACTGTCTTTCCTGGACATCCTCCCTATAAACAGACCCATGGCTCAAGACTCCCAGCAAAACCATGTACAACATCCAAAAGTGTTCCCGTGCCTCCAAAGAAACCCTATGACATTACAAAAGAACATGACTATTCTTTTTCTGTCGGAGTTGATTAGAAACTGAATATAACCAGACAGCAAGTGCAAGATGCCAAGAAACAGCTTAAAGTGGTGAAACAAGGTAAACAGGAGAGATGGAAAAACCAGGACTCTCTTGCAGGAAGTCCACGAAAGCAAGCTCATTAGCCAGGATCAGCTTGAACTACTTCAACACAACTTTGGAGAGAACGCATTTTCAGGAAAAACAAAACAAAACATAGAACGGAATATATATTTGTTCCTTGCAGGGGGAGTATAGAAACATATTTGCAATTATTATATTTAGGGTGCATGTATGGTTGAAATTTTTCTTGAGGGAAAATGAAAATTTTAGATTTTTTTAGTACTGAGCAAACGGAAGTTGAGCTCGCATGATACGTCATAGAGTTGCCAATTTGTGTTTGATTGATCACAACTTCAAAAATCCTAACTTCCTTATTTTTAATCGGAATTTGCTCAAACTTTCACTGACTTGTTTCTCTCATTTTTCTACTCCTATTAAAACTAACTTAATTTCAGGGTGGACTTTCCCTTTAAAAAAACAGAACAATCTGAGACTTTTGTTCTGTGTAATGAAATAAAATTTTGGGGACACATTGTGACAGTTGCACAACCTAACCATAATTTTCTGTTTGTTAACTTTACACGAAGGCAAACTAAAGTGGAACTTAGAAGAACTGATTACATTAGGGGTTAAACAAAATGTACTTGAATTTTGAGTTGTTGTGAGGTACACTGTATTTGAATATTTACTCTATAAGCTTCATGATTGTACCTGCTGTATCTGATTCAGTTGCTATAATTCGTCCCTATTTTCAGGAAGTGACGGTAGTGAGGAAAATCGTAACGCAAAGTGAATGCATTTTTTTTCACTACCGTCACTTCGTGAAAACAGCGACAAATTTTTGCAAATTATTTGCACTCTACATGTGCTTTGATTCTGCAGGTACAGTATGGATAACCTGAGATAAACATGTAGACCTTTTTTATAACATTGTCTGGATTGCTCTCAACCAAGTGATTTACATCATTAAAGATGAAAAGCAAGAAATTCACATCAAGTGAGCCCATTTTTAATAAACGAGAAGAATTCACAGATGTGTGGCAATTGAAAAGCCTGTGTAATGCACACCATATACACACCCATAGATCGTTTTGTACATAGGTTTGAATTTTGTTCCAAAATGGAAAACTGCTTTTGAAGAGATTTGATAACAGAAAAATTATATGGAATAATGTCACTAGATGTAAACCCATAAGATTGTGCACTCTTTGGCTTGTTGTATCTACTGTGTACATTTGAGGGTAATCAGTTTCAAATTTATTATTACACCTGATGAATAATGATGTCAAAAGACCATGTTACTATGAGGTTTCACTGAATAGTGTAGTGCAGTATCCTGAGATGTAAGTCTCTTCAATTATAGTTCTTCATAGCAATACAGGTGACTTGGAATATATATGCTCAATTACTATTTCTGGTTTGCATTTATTACTCGATGTATTATTTGTAAATGTGACGCGCCTGCGTGCGCTTGGAGCCAAGACTAGTTAATAAAGTGTTCATTATCGCTGACATCTTGACACATAGACATTGGCCTCCTGACATTTATGTTTTGGGAGTTATTGTGGTGGTTTTGGGATGTGTAATGCTTGTCTTTGGTGGCGAATCAATTTGTTGTGGTTGTGTTGCCTATGATCCGTGACAGTAAATTTGGGGCTAAAATCTGAGGTGTTGTTTTTGCAATGTTTGTCTTTTCAATTGTGATGTATTATTGCAGTATATATGTCTGATAAAATGTCAAAACTTAAATGCCTATGCTGTAGAATATCAACACACGTGTGCCGTGTGGTAATAAAAGGTTCATTTATTCATTTTTTTCTTCAAATTTAATTATAAGTTTATTCTCTAAAACTGGTTGATGAAGAAAATAAGATCAAGGAGAATATTATTTATGGAGAAAAAAAGTGGTGTGAATAAATAATTATTACATCAATGATCAGCTGTTTTTAAAGAATATTCATATTTATATACCTCACTTAAGAAATCCAGCCATCTGATTGGTCGAATTGCATTCATAAACTTCAACTGTTCCTGTAAAATTCCCGGTAACCATGCATAAAACATTTAATATTTTTAATAACCATGGTTATTAAAAAAATAGGTCAGCCTCCATGGTTACCCCATAGGTTTACATGTTAAAAAATGGTTTGAGCGATCGAGGATACCGTATGTGTGCGAAGGATTGGTCGGTAATTTCAATACAATTGAATCTCGATCGATCTTACGGACAATTTTATCTTGCACTGTTGACATGAAGACGAAAATAAACTTCCAAAAACAAAAAAACAACATCTGCCGATAGATCTTGATTTAAGTTCGTGCCAATATGCATTGCAAAAGTAAAAGAAGGGTGCTTTTGCGAAGCATTCATCACGCCGAAGCCGGTTTCAATCCATTTTAATGTATATATTGTACAAAACTGCCAAGCATGTGAACAGCGCGCGATGGCCGAGTGGTGTAAGGCGTTGGTGTAAGATTCATCACTCATTGTACGTAAGAGTTCGACTCTCACCTTCGACAAAAAAAAAAAGTATTTTTTATTTTTTATTTTTTAGTCTATTTTTTTTCGGCATATAAAAGTATTAATGACTGCTTTAATATTCGAGAAATAGTTGTTTTCATACGCTCTCGGGAAGGTTACAATTGGGCTATTCCCCTCGGCAAGCCTCGGGGAATAGCACAATTCTAACCTTCCCTTGAGCGTAATAAAACAACTATTTCTCTCAAAGCAGTCATTAATACTATAATATTTATAGTGAACTGTAAAAAATTGAATTACTCTTTCAGACAAAAATAGAGATTTTATAGAGAATGGGTGAAAGACATAAGGTGTGAATTTGATATAAAATGAGTGAGAGAAGAAGAAAAAGAATGTTTGGATGGATGGATGAATGATTGGATGAGTAAATAACATAATTTTTTAAAATAAATGTGTAGGCCTATAATTCTTTCCTTCCCCCTCTTCCTATCTTCAGTATTGTCCTTTATCTGCATTTCCATTATCTACCTATCCTTCTATATTCTATCCATCTATTTATGTGTCTAGCTATCTACATCTCTATCCCAAATCTATAAGTATCAATCTGTTTATAATAGTCATAAACATAAAATGAATATATTACCTTTAAAGCATTTTAAATCAAACCCTGGCTCTCATAATAACTGAATTAGAAAGACATTGGCCCCGGCATTGGCCCTGTAGCATAAAACTTTGTTTAATATCATGACATAAATATCAAATACAAGTCCCAAATGCTTGATTCTGATTGGTTGAAAGCCAAGTAATATTTAATGTCATAATATCGCAGTTTTATATTGACAAAGAGGAAGAAAAATTGAAGATATACTGAAATATAAATAGCTTTTTGTGTCCCTTTTACCTCACCATAACATCCGTAATTAATCTTGACCTACACCAGATACCATGACTGAGGCATGAGTAGGGTTCATGCATTATGCAAAATACCACAATTATAACGTTTCATACTCGAAAACCGATAAATCAACCCGAAAAATGAAGCTTCACATTGCATATCAGTAGCACAGTTTCGAAGGGAACATCCGGGTATTTCTCGAAGTTGTGCCCTCCTTAGTAATGGCGGACCGCGCTCCATGCGCGCACAGAGCTTTGAACGGGCGCGTATGACGAGTCCGCACTCTAGCCTTATTAAGTATATATCTCTATGCTCTATACCCACTCTGACTCTGCCTACTCAGGCTAGCCCAAGCTAGAGCCGCACCGAGCTTACCCCACCCCTGTACGGAGGGGAAGCAAGCATAACACCGCACACTCTGAATTAGCGTCCGAGTGAGTAGAGTGCTACTGCTAGGCCTCGGTAAATTAAAAGAACGCTTCTAAAAAACCCGTTTCGAAGTATTCACAAGCAAATCATCAACACCAAACATATGAAAACAATGTCTTACGTTCACTAAAAACGATAGGGCTACAAAAATATGGATAATTGTATACAGAAATATCCGTTACTAGGCAAGTTTACGACTGTTTACATGACAAACTCACCTGGAATGTCTTCGTCTTCGCTCGCCATTTTGCCGAATTACTGAATATGACAATTCTTGACTAAAGAGGGAGGCAGGCAGATATAATACATCAAACACTGCACCTCAAATGCTACCGGTAATTCGATCAAACTTGATTATTTTTTTTATTTTTTTTAAGCAGGGGAGCCTGGGAGCAGTGGCGGATCCAGGGCCCCCCCCCCCCCTTGAGAAAAAAATCACGTAAAAACACGTGATTTTTACCTTTTGGGGGGATGCAAAATTTTGAATTTTCGAGGACCAAAAAAAAAAAATGTGCTCACTAGGGGGCCGGGATGTGACGGTGCTTTAGATATTGACATTGTTATTATTACTATATCTACTGATAAGAGGCAGGATTAAGTATAAAGGGTGCCTATTTGATATTTTTCTAAATACATTTTGATTTTGTTGGGGCCTTTATAGCAAGACAATAACGAATAAATAACAATTGCAAATAGTAAATGCCTTTGATGTATGACGACATACGAACAAAATATTTTTAAGAAGAGGAAGGGATAAAAAAAAAAAATTTAAAAAGCAAAATTGTAACTTTCCGAACTCAAAATGTTTCTAGCTCGGTCGCGACGCTCCTCGCATACGAATAAAAGTATAAAATACGAGGCAATAGGAACCCAGTCTATGCCAAGGCCTCGAACATACCGAAATTGTGGGATATAGTTGCTTTACTCTGGGGGGGGGGGGGGCAGTCGGAGTCGGAGGAGGGCAAATTAGTTTTGCACCCGCCCCTCCTTGCAAGACACTGTATTGCATAGTAAGTTGGGAGTACGTGGATACATACTCTCTGTTGATCTATAGAACCGATGGATGGGGTTAAATTTTAAATTTTCCCGGCCCAGGCATTCGGTCGCTATACGCTCCCTTTCATTTAAAATGTAAATTATTATTGTACAAAATTATCCACCGTATAAAGGCGCTTCAAATTAAGCATGGAGTGAAATTATAGGGAGATATCTTGTGAATGGAGTAGGAACAATTCAATTAAAGTTCGACGCCCCCCCCCCCCCCCAAAAAAAATATATATATATATATATATATATAAGAATAAATCAATGTCTATAAAACTCGAAGCTCTCTCAATGCTGGTTTATAGGCCCATTTATGATCTTATTTGTATATTTTATTTAGTTTATAGGGTAATAATCGGGAGCGCCAGGAGGGTCAAATCTGACTGACATGAGTGATATACAAGAACCCACTATTATTATTATTATTATAGGCTATGACTTCATACCAGTGCCACAGTTAAAGAGCTTTTGCTTTTTACGTAGCTTGTTTTAATAAATGTCACTGCTCTAATAATTTACTTTAACGTTGATATGATTTATAGTAACTCCGTTTCTTAATGAACGTAAATCATGTCTTAATTTTTGCCAACTTTTGAGTCCCATGCCTAATAAAAGTAAGCACAATTTTAATGTTACAAATTCTTTTTTTTACTTTTAGTCTGTTTTTTCCCCCTCCAAACATGGCGCTTCAGAAATACAAAGAAATTTGTTCGAAGCGTGAATTCAAAATATTTTAGTTCTAGGGGGTGGGGGTGGAGGGGGGGGGGGGGGAGAGCTGTCGGTATGACCCCAAAGATAAATAGTTCCGGTGCGCCGGCCGAATGAGAGGCCGGAGCAGTCGAGGCCGCTTTATTAAGCAGTACGAAACAAATCTCTGACAATTGAGGCAAACGAGCACGGTAGAAAAATGAAAAGGATGCACAATGAAAATTGCGATATTTATGTTCCGTTTCAATATCAAATTGTTCCCTACTTCATTATTTTGAACAATGTTCCAACCTAATGACATGGTTGATTGGTTCACTCGCTTATCTGCCGTAGTTTACAGGAGGGATTAGACCGCTCTGCAAGGTCACTGGACAGGTGGTTATCTCATCAACTCAGCTCTCAGTTGAGAGGATCATGGGGGACCAATGGTCACCGATCAGGCATCGTTTGTTATATAGAGGGAGCAAGTAGCTACCAGTAGTGCAGTGGGCCTTATTCACAGTTGTAAGATATTACTTACCTATAGAGTGCATGGTGAAGTGTGACGTCATCAACAAGTTATTTTTGGAATTTCTCTCTTTTTTTTTCTTCATTTCCCGAAAGAGCATAAAAAACTAATGTCCAAATGTCGAAAAACCAATTGAATATGTTAAGTATTGGCTATAAGATATGACCATCTGAATAAATAGATTTTTTATAGGAACTCAGTGTTATATTCCTCTGGTTCATAACATTACGAGCCAGGTAATCTATGTTTAGGGCTAACAACGCTAGGGCCATCCCTCCGTCCTCCTTTTTATTTTTTTAAATATTTTTTTTAAATATAAGTGTGTCTTTATGATTGTAAATGTTTTGTTGATATGGCCATATTTCAGCCAATACTTAACATATTCAATTGGTTTTCGACAAGTGGAAATTATTTTTGATGCTCTTTCGGAAAATGAAGAAGAAATTGAGAAATTCCAGAAATAGATTTTTATGATGTCACAGCTTCGGTATACTCCATAAAACATAAATTTAATTCTTTTATGATCTATAACACATTTTCTTGTTTTTTCCAAGTTCTAAATAGTTCTTTGTAAATAGTGTAAATAGTTCACAACCCTTTAGGAATTTGATTTGTCATACATTCAGGTGTTGTAACGATTCAAGCTCTATTTGTTTATGTTTCAGCACCTTTGTGTGTTCATTCTTAAATCACGGAGGTGTTTTAGACTCTCATATCCCTGGTATAATAGTTGCAACAATGCAACTTGTCTTTGATAAAACATTGTTATATCTATTCAAATGGATTGTAAAATTAAAAATGATTTGTTTAATTCTTTTTCTTTTGATGTTAACTCCAATGAAATTATGAACATGTATGCATGCATGCATAAATAAATAAATAGATAGATAAATAAATAAATAACAAATAAATAAATAATAATAAATATAAAAATAAATAAACAAATAAATAAACAAAGAAATAACAAAATAATTAAATGAATATATATATAAATAAATGTATAACTAAACCAATAAATCAATAGTACAAATGGATTCCCTCCCCCCACCCCCTTGCATGGGCGCTGCGCTGCTCATCTTGCTTTTTTTTTTAATAGCGCTAGCTTTGCACTTGCGCAGTTGCAGCTATTTGCTCGTTGACATATTGAGAAACTCCAGACCCAGTTCGTGGTGTGATATTTCTCGACATTTCTAGCCCTGTCATCCAGATCCAGATATTACTCTTCGTTATTTCGATACCTATAGCTGACTTGAAACTCTAGGTAAGATTCTGAAGTATTTTGATATAAGTGCGTCGTGTTACTGTGTGTAGGTTGTCATGTATTAAATGTAAGTTTTTTAGTATTTTTACGGCCTGGCAGACGCCGCGATTACTGAGTCACGGTGCGGGTCTTTTGAGCTGATCACGCGGGGCGCGACTGGCATAGCGGTGAAGCATGCACCTGTCACGTCCATATCGGGATTTATTACCCCGGACAATTGACTCTAACTTAGTCTTACTCTTAGAGTATTATACAAAGTTGGAGTGGTATAGGGAATTTTTTAATGAAACTGACATTTTGTCAATCTTCCCCATACAATATCTCTGTCTTTCTGCATGCACTGTTACTGTACTGCAAAATGCAAATGGTAGGGGGGGGGGGGGGGTGGAGGGGTTGGCGCTTGCACTTGTTCAGAATTCTATCCAAAATTTGACCTGTAACTCTTGCGTGGAGATACCCTACTGAAACATACCCAAAATGAAGTAAATATTCATTAAATGTCCAAATAAAGATCATGAGTTAAAAGTCGTTAGGTTAGGTTTATTACTAGACCGAAAGCTTCAGTCTCTATAATCGTCGGTTGTTCCACTGAGACTAGTACGTCTGGCTCCACTAGACCTCCGGTTATAGAGACTGAACGACTGCCTATGCCAGCCTGTGTTGAACTTATTCCGCTAGATTTTAGCCGCTAGGCCCCTCCCACAAACTTGCCACGGCCGTATTGTTATGCCCCCAAAATCCCCCAAAATGTCATTTTACCTCGTTCATTTCCAATTTTAAATTAGGCCTAGGCTATAATACATCGGTTCCACTTACTAACTTTATTGATATAATCCGTTTAATGGTCCCTTTTAAGGAAATTATGGGTCAAAATCGACATCCATGTTGAAAATCTTGCAAGCCGTGTTAAACTCTCGCTGCCGTCAATCTCATCCCTTCTAGTCTACGCCGAAGGCAAAATGATTATGAAGGAAAAACTGTGATAACGCCATTACGAACGTGTAGATGGCGCAGTTTTTCCTTCATAATCATTTTGCCTTCGGCGTAGACTAGAAGGGATGAGATTGACGGCAGCGAGAGTTTAACACGGCTTGCAAGATTTTCAACATGGATGTCGATTTTGACCCATAATTTCCTTAAAAGGGACCATTAAACGGATTATATCAATAAAGTTAGTAAGTGGAACCGATGTATTATAGCCTAGGCCTAATTTAAAATTGGAAATGAACGAGGTAAAATGACATTTTGGGGGATTTTGGGGGCATAACAATACGGCCGTGGCAAGTTTGTGGGAGGGGCCTAGCGGCTAAAATCTAGCGGAATAAGTTCAACACAGGCTGGCATAGGCGATCGTTCTGTCTCTATAACCGGAGGTCTAGTGGAGCCAGACGTAGTCTCAGTGGAACAACCGACGATTATAGAGACTGAAGCTTTCGGTCTAGTTTATTACCTGTTTCGTGTCAAGTTTCTTGTAATTTTGGAGTATTTTTCTGAAAAATGTTGATATTAGTCTACATTTTTTATTGAACGGGTTTCACGGCAAACCTCTACACAATACAACTTACAAGTGCATACCGATGGTGGGTTAATTGCGGGCGGGCGCATGCCTGTGTGAAGCTATCTACTATAGGATCTGAGACATTACGGTAGATAACTTCACACAGGCGCGCGCCATGAGTTATTTAAATGAAGGTTTAAACCATGGGTTAAATGTAAACCTTCTTTGTGAATTCGGGCAAGCCCGAGTAACCATGCTTTACAAAGCCATCAATCGATCCAAACCATCCAACCAAGACTCCGTTCAACACATCAGCAACACCGACACAGATTCATGAGACCCAGCTCCAACTCTGACAGCTACAGGCAAAGTTTCTTCCCAAGAACACTCCGGGACTATCTATCCTTTTTCTTGAAGCTACTGTGCGCAATGAGATCGGCAGAGAGAGAGAGAGAGAGAGAGAGAGCGAGGACAGGAGAGATCGATGATAGAAAAGGAAGAAGATGGAATGTGATTATCACATAATGTTAGCGACTTAGCGTGATTGTTAATTTATGAAAATACACAGTCACATTATACTAGAGCATACATGTACATGGAGGCATGCCAAAGACTGAGTGAGTTTGATTTTGCTCTCTCTGGAAAGCTCCAGAAAGCTCTGCGAATCGAAAGCTTTTTATAATATCAAAGTTCAAAGTTTACTGCACATTATTTTGTTGATTGTTTGTGTCATATTACATTCAATTGAAAACACCCTATACCTTAGAAAGAGTGTTATTAAAGTGGAGGTCTCGTGTACATAAGATAGTCTTAAGATATCTTAAGATAAGATAATAATAATAATTGGATTTATATTGCGCCTTTTCCAAAGATTACAAGATGGAATGTGATTATCATACAATGTTAGCGTGATTGTTAATTTATGAAAATACATAGTCACATTAAACTAGAGCATATGTAGGCGTGCCAGAGACCGAGTAAGCTTGATTTTGCTCTCTCTGGAAAGCTCCAGAAAGCTCTGCAAATCAAAAGCTTTTTATTATTTCAAAGTTCAACGTTTACTGCACATTATTTTGTTGATTGTTTGTGTCATATTATTCATTGACTGCAGGCTAGAGTAAATTGAAAACACCCTATACTTTAGAGAGGGTGTTAACGGCCCACTGCACTACTTGTAGTTCACTTGCGCCCTTTATATAACAAACAATGCCTAATCGGTGACCATTGGTTCCCCATGATCCTCTTTTTCTTATGTTGACTGAGCGCTGAGCTGATGAGATAACTACCTGTCCAGTGACATTGTGGTCAAATCCCTCCTGTAAACTAGTACAGATAAGCTTTAAGTGTACATAAGAGAGGCATAGCTATAGCATGATAACACCAGTATAGTACACTGGACTCTTTGTCCAGTAATCAGTAATCTGGGGTATTTCACCTGCCACTGCCAGCCATCCTCCAAAGTGGTACCGGTACTATACCATATTAGCATAAAAATCTTCAGGAATGAAAGGGGCACTTGAATCTGAACCTGAGACCCTTTAAACTTATCTGGTATTATTTTGTAATTTATTGTAATTTAATGTACTGTATGTTATAAAGAGGTTTTTAATGAGGGCTGTAAATGTATCCAGTTCGGTATGGGCATGCTTTAGATAGTGGTGTGTGAGGCACCTGGGGAAAACTGTACCAGACATGTTGTCCTTGTATTGTTTGCTTAAGTTATCATTTTCAAAGGTCTTCCAGGGGTGAATGTAGATGGCATGATTGTCTAGCATGTGCTGTGCCAGACATGATGTGACTTAGTGTACATGTACAGTACTTGTAGGATTAACTGCCCAGGTAATTGTGCCCCCTCCCTCCTCCCTCCTCCATCCCTCCTCCCTCCTCCATATCTCCTCCCACCTCCATCCCTCCTCCCTCCTCCTCCCTCCTCCATCCCTCCTCCCTCCTCCACCCCTCCTCCCTCCTCCCTCCTCCACCCCTCCCTCCTCCACCCCTCCTCCCTCCTCCCTCCTCCACCCCTCCCTCCTTTCTCCACCCCTCCCACCCCTTCTCCCACCCCTTAAAAGTATTTGAAGGTAAGTATCCACTTTACACTTTAATTTATAATGCATACACTCGTTGGTGGAGGAACAAATACCTCTTCAGTTTGTTCCCTCTGTACAGTGCTTCTCTCTCTCTCTCTGGTTTTGTCCTTCATATTTTTTCTTTTGTCAATTTTGCCTTGTTAACTCCATTGTACAGTATAGTAATTCAGCCCCTAGGCGCCGTATTAAATTCTTTGAATAAATACCAATACGATACGATACAAAACAATGTTGACAGCACAAGATTGAAATCATGTTGACAAAAACATGTACAAAATCTATGTAATTTTCCTTTGCTAACAGAAGAGTTCTTTTTTTCTTTTTTTCGTGTGTGAAAATCATCAGTTCCTTTATTCCGTTTTCTATCTTGTAATTTCTCTCCAGTATTGTTGCAGTGATATGGCAAGCCGCAGACATGCTCTTCTGACATGCGTTAGATTCCTTTCCCGGCCGCAGCATCGTGGCCTCGCGGATGCTGCACCTAAACCTACTTCTCTCTTGGCCAGTTTGGATACCAAAATAGAGCTTGCACTCCCGGGAAAACTCAAAACATTGTGGAACCATCCTGCAGGTAATGTCCAGGTTGCAAAGAACTTTGAGAAAACCAAATGTGTTTAGTTAGCTCTGAATTTTCATATCAATTGGCTACTCTGTATTTTTGTTGGATCGCTATTTTCGTTCCAATATTAAAGATGAAGTTGAGTTCTGGTCATGCGATTGCATTGTGAAAGAAACGATGTGGAACCGACCAGAAAATGTTGATCATCTAGCATATAAGAATTTGTGTGTATTGCAAGGTTCTGGAATCATCAAAATGATAAGAAATTTGGCCAAGTCTTGGTAAAGTTACAAACACTTGCACAGAAAGATGTATATGAGACTACACGAACACGTGGCGTAAAAAGCCGGCCCCCCGATTTTTACGATGTTACATGCATATTTAGAATATGAAGGAATTTGAAGAGCCATGCTTTTCAGGGAACATGTCTTAACTGATGTTCTTCCACACTTGCATAATAAGAATAAGTAATGCTCAAAAATTATTTTTCACCTCTTCCCAGAACTCAACCTTCTCTTTAAGTACTGTATTTGAAAAGAAGTTCTACATCAGGAAAATAAAATGAAACTTGACAAATGGGTATATGTACATGTACGTGAAGGAAGATTAACCAAATGTTATGTACATGTTTATTTGGTGATTAATCAATGTTAACCAATTGAGTGCCACAGATGATATTCCTTGCATAAATTGGTTTAAGCCAGAATTTTGTGTGTGTGCAATGCATCACAGTGTGCTAATACTGGGCCCGAATTGTTGTATTTCCCACTTAAAGCACAAAAGTATCATACGCAGGAATTAATAAACAACAATTTCTGAGACTTTGTACAATTTGGAATATACACCTCGTCAACAAGAGATAGTGGAACAAATAATTAGGGTGAATAATTTAGGATGATAGATTTTCCTATCGAACTTTGTATAAATGTATCATGTATGTATTTCATCTTTTGCACAAGCTGCGCCTTGAGCATTTGACCGTCAAGTGGATTTGGCGCCTTATAAATCTTATGTATTATTATTATTATTATTTACCATGATTTTACTTGCAGAGGAAGTTTTACTGAAGTTATTGATTACTGAAAAGTAATATGTATATAATGCATCGTGAAAACCTCGATCATAATAAGTAAAATCCACGCTTTGTGAAGTATAAGATCTGTCATCAGATGAGTACCTGGATGGTGTCAAAGTCTCAATAGGTACATGTATCAGCTCAAGATTGCCAAATAGACCGCTATTTCTGATTTGGGAAATACGCCGAAGTTACAAATCACGTCTTCATCAGCTCGAGACTGGATCTCGAAAACTTAAGCTCAAGAAGTTAGCTCAAGATATTTTGCTCAAAAATTGCACATACATGTAGCGTGAGTCTTCGGGTTGATGAAGACGCACAGCACAAATAGCGGGATAACTAGCCCAAAATAATTTGGGATGATCATCTCGACCAAATATCCCGCTAATTGTGACTGCAGGCTGATGAAGACGCAAATTAGCTGGATAATTTGCGAACGGGGTAGTTAAAATAGCTGGTTATTTGGCAATCTCAGGTGATGATGACAGGCCTAATGAGGACCTTTAGAAATGGGCTCTCATGGGGAATTTGACAGGCATTGTAAATCACCAGGATTAGCCTTTGGTTTTATGACCAACAGGCCTTGAATACCGGTAGTGCTCTGCATTTGTACACATTCCCCTCACCCGAAGACTCTCCGAGAGACTTCATGTAGGGGGTATATATATTGATGCGACCGACTACGGGTTTGCTGTTTGAGAGACTTGTACACCCATTAATGGTAATTCCACCAGGTCTGGTGTCAGCGAATTTTGACCCTCTGCACATGGAAACTGACAACCATCTCCCTTTAAAATGTTCCTAAGAAGGTAAAGCTGGTCTGACATATTAAAACTTACATCAAAAAGAATTCAACAAATGCCCTAATTCAACCATTCTTGAGGTACAAAACATATCAGCATTACAAGCTGTATCAATTCAATGTAATCACAACACGTTGTTAACTGTATATGTGTACAGGTGTTCAGTATTTATGACAATAAAAGAAACGCCACTGTACATAACCCCCTCCCCCCCCCCCCCTCCTATAATTTTTGGGTTTTGCCACCCTGTACTAGTACATGGAGTCTTGGACTGATTTTAACAAATTCTACTACTAAATACTAAAAGTAACTCCTTGTGTTTTTATTTTCCCCCAAATAGGACTGAAATCGATTCACTTCTGGGCTCCTTGTTTTAAATGGGTAAGTGTGGGTCTATTTTGTACTATGCATTCACATGAAGTAGTAGTAGTAGTAGTAGTATAAATCGCACACAAAATATTTTCTGCTCTTAATGATTAAGGGACTGCATGTTTGTATACTACAGTCAAACCTGTCTATAGCGACCACCCAAGGGAAACATAAAAAGTGGCCTTTGGAGACAGGTTCCTTCAGTACATGATTCAATGAGAAACCATTTTCAAGGGAAACAACAAATGTGGCCTTTGTAGACAGGTGGTCACTAAAGCAGGTTTAACTGAACTTAAAAACATCAGCTTCCATAATGCTGCTGTACTGACAAAATAAAAGCTCAAATACTTTTTCAAATGCATGTCTAGGTGACTTGTGAGTAAACTGGATGCCCATGGATGTTACATGGAAACCAAACTTTGGCCGAGTTCTTGAGCGTGTCGGGATAATTTTGCTTTCCTTTATAATCTCAGCATACACCTCACCCGTACAATTCTCACCGCTTTGGGCCGCTCTGGAAAAAGCGCAGTATATAGATAATAATAATAATGCCTAGAAACTTGGAAAGTTTTGGGGTTGAAGTCATACAGAGCAAGATACAAGCTGTATGGCACAATTGTTATCAATGATTAGTCCCCTTTCAGTTACACTGTATTTAAGGCGGCCACCATCGGAAATACTGTATTTGTATGAAGATTAGGAAGATAAATGCAAGAAAATACGTAAAAGTGTGCCCAGTCCATGTGTGTAATGATAATAATTATTATTTGGTGGACTCTTGTTAAGCTTTCATGTCTGTCTCTCATTGATGCTCCTGGCATCTCGGGGGGGGGGGGGGGGGGGGGGGGGGGGGGGGGGGGGGGGGGGGGGGGGTGACAATTGTGTTATAAGCTACTGAAATTCCTTGCTTCTGGTTGGATATCAGCAGATTTGTCACTGATTTTTTGTTATTTACCATTGAAAAAAAAAGGCTTTGTGAAAATCCCCCTGGTACACATTTACACCTGACTTAATACTTGCAAATGTGTATTCTTGCTAAAGGATGTATGCAACAGGCTGAAATCCAAACTCTCTTTTGTAATACTGTTATGGGCGCCATTTTAATTTACGAGAAAACAAACCAAATGACCTCTAGAGGTCAGTGGTTTATGCGTAAATTAAGATTGCACCCATGCAAATTATGATGACATCACTGCCTGCGCGCTACGTTGTGCGCTCACGTCATAATTTGCATGGGCGCAATCTTAATTTACGCATAAACCACTGACCTCTAGAGGTCATTTGGTTTGTTTACTCGTAAATTAAAATGGCGCCCATGTCTGCGCATGCGCACTGTTGTAACCGTAAACTGGTGTATTGCACTTCTAGGGTTCGTTCAGACATGACACCGCAAAACCATGGTGTTTTTTAATAATTTTTTTGATTCCGTAATATGCTTTACATTTCTGAATCTATAACACGGTGCTCAGTGAAAACGCGCAAGTCCTTTATTGCGCACAGCTGTCATTCATTATACATCTTTTTTTTTTAAATGCAGGTGTTTTTATGTGGAGCTCTACTGCGCCTTATATGAACACGCCTATAGCATACCTGCCAACCCCTACGAATAATCCGGAATATTAAGATTTTCTGGATTTTTAGGACCTGAAAATCTGGAATATTCAGATTTTTTTTTTGATTTTTTTTTTTTGGTGCTAAAGCCGAATTAAGCTTGTTTTATCATGTGCCGCGATTTGATAGTTCACGTATTGTGTGCGTTGAATGGCTGCATGATCGAGCAGCAAATTTGTTTTCACTTTTTGGTACAGATTTAACGCGTATTGCCGGTTACACTGCCGCTGCAAGTGCAATTTCTTATTTTCAAATGTTGGCAGGTATGCTTTAGTGGTTCTCTTTCATAGCCATCAATCATGAGTAAGAATTATTTATTGATGTTCTTCTTTCATCCTTAGTGCCTTGTATTTGCCGGCATGGCTGATTACACACGTCCTGCAGAAACGTTGAGTGTTCGGCAGTCTGGTGCTCTGGCAGCCACAGGTTTGTACAGTGTAATGCTTACTAGTGTTTAATAGAACAACCAAATAACAACCTCAACGTTAATTTGCTAGCTATTTTAAAAATAACGGTTTTAGTATTCGTGTGACAAGGAAATTTGTCCCTCTAAGCAGGTAATTTTCTTTTCTTTTCCTTTTCCATTTTTACATAGCAGAATCTACACAAATTTGGGGTGATTCAGCATTTGTTCCTCAAACACGTTTTCTTCTTGGCGATGGATCATTCACTACTTCTGCACCTAGGCTGTGGAAGTCATCCTCGATATCTTCGCTCTTGTTCCTCAAACATGTTCTTTTCTTTAATAGCAGTAGATTATTCACTGCTTCTGCGCCTAAGTTGTGGAACAGTCTTCCTCGATATCGTCACCCTTGTTCCTCAAACATGTTCTTCTCTTCTTAGCGGTAGATCATTCACTGCTTCTGCACCTAGGTTGTGGAACAGTCTTTTCCTCTGTATCTTCGCTCTTGTGACCTGCTGTCCACTTTCAAAACCCAACTAAAGACATACTTGCTCCATATATTGTTTACAACAAAGGACTAGTCACGACCCCTGTCTTTCCTGGGTGGATGACCAATGGCTTAATAATAGTATGTAGTGTTTCAGTCTCATCAGCACCTTTGGACAGGCAACTGGATATTGGCGCTCTACAAACTCCTAGGGGGCGTTTCACAAAACTTGTCATCAGTGACAAATGACAGTTTTTGTTATAAGCTACTGAAATCCTTGTTTCTGATTAGTGGTCAGCAGATTTGTCACTGATTTTTGCCATTTGTCATTGAAAAAAGGCTTTGTGAAACAGGTCCCTGGATTGGATGGAATTCCAAGGACAAGGATCTGGGCTTTGTTTTGACGAAGATAAAGGGTTGGGTTGCCATTTGGTTAAGGTTAGGTTAAAGATAAACGTGAGTTCTGGTAAATATAGAAAATGAATCCTCATAAAATCCAACAAAAATTACACTTAATGTTCAAGTTTACAAATACATGACATCTGCCAAACAATTTTGGTAGAAAATGTATAGTGGCTGAGTAATGAGCATAGAAAGATAAGGAAATCTGGGTAAGTAGGCCCGACACTATGTGCTTAGCACAGGTCACTTTGTACAAATGGGAGTTGTGGTTATTATCAAAGATGATGCCCAGTAAGTTTTTGTGGGTTTATTTTTATTTCACTGGTTCAAACAACCAATCTACTGCAGGATAAACACTCCAGAATAAATCATAGCAATTTTCTCTTAAAATACGATTCCCATACCAAAGCTCAAGATTAGTTTTAAGGTTCAAAGCTTAGGTACAGCGTTTGATAAAGGGTTAAAATTTATAATTCGCATAGTGTACGAAGTTGACTCTGGGACAACTGTTGCTTTCAAGAACATTTGTGATTTGATCAAACGTTTGAGTGTTAACACATGATGGTCCAAAAAAGTTTATGAATGATGTTGCATCTCTAAAAGTATTTAAATTTTAGGTTCCTGACAAAATTGTCCCAATTGTTGTCTAAATGTTTGATGGGAACCGGGTATACCTGAATTGGATTTGTCATCTTGTAATGGTTAAAGGGGAAATCCACCCTGATATTAAGTTGGTTTTAATAAAAGCAGAAAATGAGAGAAACAAATTTGTGAAAGTCGGAGCAATATCCAATTAAAAATAGGAAAGCTACAGATATTTAAAGTTGTCATCAATGAAACACAAATTGGCAACACTGTGACATATCTTGCGAGCTCTTCTCCAACTTACTCTTCACATAAAATTTCCCAAACTTAAATTTTCTTAGTTATTGATGACGAAATAATTTTTTTTCATGCAGGGGTTATATAAAAACATTAATTTGCAATAACTATATTTGTGGTGAATCATTGAAAATTATGTCATAGAGTTGCCAATTCTTGTTTGATTGATTGCACATTCAAAAGCTTGATAACTTTCTTATTTTCAATTGGATTTTGCTCAAACTCCACTGGCCTGTTTCTCTAACTTTTTCTGCTTCTACTAAAACCAACTTGATATGAGGGTGGACTTGCCCTTTAAAACATCAGATATAAGATGGCATGCACCGTCCCCTTGCACTTCCTACGCTGATGATATAGCTGGTACCAGCATGTTAGGCACTATCAAATGAGAAAAACTTGTAAGTGTACCAATTACCAAAACATGTTTTGGTTCTCTTAAAGGCATTGTTTAACGTTGTTAAATCTGAGATGCACGGCCCTACGTGTTATCGGTGTCTGTGATATTGTGTTATATTGAAGCCCTTAAAAAATTGCGCTTCAAAATATCAAGAAGTGCCTCAAAAGAGTAAAAATCTTTGAGTGACCGGTTTTACCATACTCGTTTTCCCCAATTGACTTTAGTCTTATGAAAACTGTTTACCAAACAGTCTTCAAAGTTTGTAATTCCAATCATAAATATCTTGATAAACAGACAGGCGATCGGCTTGTTAACGTCATGGGGTTCCTGACTGACCTAAAGGTGTATAATTATGACTGCAGCATGAGCTGAATCAAGGATGTTGTTTCAGAATCTGAGACAAAGTTACCGGATCCCTTTAATGCAACTGTCCACGTGGCTATACTGTATTCAAATCATAAGCTTGAAGTATTACTTCTACAAGGAATATTGCAATTTAAAAACAGTGAATAGTGAAATGTCTTGTTGAGTAGAGTAGTCAATGCAAGCGTACAAACTCGCCTAGAATTGGGCGCTCACGGAACCCAAGTCCAACTTGAGTTCTTTGCCAGCTTTATACGTGGGTTTTTTATTTTACCTTATTTCCTTCATACTTCTTATTAAACCGTTGACCTATAGAATGCCAGGTATGCTTCTACGGTTAATTATATATATATTCTAGCTATACACAAATTAATTTCTAAAATAGAAAAATCTTTGCAATAGAAGCTGGATTCTGAAAATTCTGTATGTGCTTGGCCTATAAATTTGGAAACAAATTCAGAATATTTATGACAAATAATCATTGTAAGACAACATCTAACAGTAAACAAAATGAAGCAAATTCTCTCTTTTCGATATGAATTTGTGATGAATTATTTTGCTATGTAAGGAACCAATTGTTTCTTTTGCAATATTTTAAAGTTAAAGTCCCTTTTAAAGTGTTGGGAGCCCCAAATACGCCAAAAATGTAATGGCCCAATTTCACTAAAATTGTATCATGATGTGAAAGAAGATGTCGTTTACAGTTTAAAACACACTTCTGCAAACATTTCCCCCCCCCCCCCCCCCAAAAAAAAAAAAAAAAAAAAAAAATGTGTTTGAAGACAAAAATTGGTAAAAGAATACATAAATTTGGTTTTCTGTTGTTCGCAGAAAACCTAAATTTTGTGTTCTTCCATTAATATTTGACTTCAAACGCAATTGTTTTGAAAGTCCTTTCAGAATGTGTCTTACAGAGCTGCCAACCATTCCGTTTTTGCCGGAATTACTCCGTTTTTTCCTCCCAATTACGGTATTACGTTTTTTCTTCATAAAATACGTTTTTTAATAATTTTTTTAATTTTTTTTTTTTTTTTTAAATTTTTTTTTTTTTTTTAAATTTGTTTAAACTTTTTTTTTTTTTTTTTTTTTTTTTACATACCGCACGTCAAACAACTGCCCTAAAATGGTGATTTGATCACAAATTCAATAGAAAACTAATTTTAAAACGTACTTGAAGAGAAAAATATTCTCAAAAAAAATGAAATAACGATAATACCAAAATAACCACCAAAAAAAACTACCTGCTTGTATGGAAAAAACAGCATGATGAATGAACATTTCTGCATTGGAAGTGTGTTGCGCGTGGTTGTAAGTTTTGTTTTCATGAATTCCTTTTTTTGACTTGAAATTCCTTTTTTTGCCATCATGATTCCTTTTTTTGGTCGCACAAGGTTGGCAGCTCTGGTCTTAAATGACATATATACTCTTTCACATTATGATACAATTTAAGTGCAAATTTGCCACCAAATTTTTGGGGCTCCCAACACTTTAAAATTTCAAAAAGAATTTCTTCAAATGTTTAATAATTTCGGTAATAATTTGGTGTCACTTTTGTCCTTTTCTTTGCTCCATGTAGGTGTGATATGGGCAAGGTACTCGTTGGTGATCATTCCTAGAAATGTAAACCTGTTCTGCTGTAACGCTTTTCTCGGACTGACTGGAATCATGCAACTAATTAGGATTTATCTGTAAGTAATTCGACAGAATGCACAGTCAACAGCTAAATTGTTCATACCCTTTAAGATCTGTAATCTTTTTAAGTACGTGAAAAATTGATTATTCCTGATTTATGTTTCTTGAGAATGTGGCATATTACAGCTTACATCTAAAAGTATTCAACAAAGGCCCTGATTCATTAAGTCCACCTTTCATTCTTGAGCTACGAAAAACACAAAAACATCAAATTTACAAAGGGGTATGAATAATTTAGTAGTTAACTGTATCTGTGAACAACAAATGTGTGATATTGTGGGCTTTGTGAGAAACCATTCACAAGAACTTAATGAAGTATATCTCAAGGCTATTCTAGCCAACTCAGAAGTTAAAAAAGTGCAACAAAAAACAAGCACTTCTTAAAGGGATAGTTGAGTTTTGTAGCAGAAGGCACTACTAAAAATGATATTTTTTTGTGAGATAATGCAAAAATGAGTGTCAAATTTGAAAGAATATACAAGTTAAATAAAAATAAAAGGTCATCATTTCTCTACAGTGTGATCAAAATCGGTTCAGAAACGGCAGAGATATGAATAAATATAACCATTTGTAATATTTGGGGAGCCCCACAAATATTCAGTAATTTTGAACCAGCCGTTGAAAAAATCCTGAGATAGCGCCTTATACGTTTTATTCCAGCCAATGCCAATATTGGCTTTTTGTTGGTTTTTTCGTGTTTGTTATAATACGCACAACCAGCTGGCCCTTGTATTTTTATTATTAATTATTTAAATAATCAATGGTCACCATATTTTTTATAAGTGGAGCTGAATCGGTATGATCGTACTTAATTTAAATTTCACACATTTTGGGGTCTAAAATTACCTTCATAGCAATTTTAGAATCTAAAAGGGCACTAGAAATGTCCTAATTAATAAGAGCATGCATTTTGAAGGCATTTGCGGTCTTTAACAAGAACTCAACCATCCCTTTAAGTATATGAGAAAAGAAAGAAAAAGAAAAAGGTAGGAAAGTTTATAAACAGAGAAACTATGTACAGTATGGTATCATACAATCCTATTTAGAAAAAGCAATATCTGTTTTGTACATGTAGGGACGCCTTAATAATTGCTCTTGGAATGCTTGAGGGTTTTTATAACAATCAGGGAAAAAATTAATATTTATTTTTCGGGGGCTACTTTTCAAGCTTGCCTGCATAAAATAACACTCTAAAATTTGTTTTGCATTGAACTCTATGAAAATTTACGGGGGCTCTTTTGGGCATTTCGGGAGCAAATTTGCCCTGAGCCCCTGTGTATTTTTTTCACTGATAACAATGTATTTGTGAAAATTTGTGCAATACTATTACCTGTATTTGCATCTGAGAAACATTCTAAAGGCCCGATTGTTTTGCTCGTATTCCAGACCCCAAACATGACGATCAAAGTCCAGATATATTTTCTTTCATCCAACTGAGAATGTCTGTTCTGCTCTTTCTCTCAAACATGTATGGTCAATATCGTTTTGTGTGTGTTCTTTTGTTTGTAGACATACAAAGAAACAGGAAAAATTGGCAGCGGAAGAGGCCGCCGGAGCTTCAGAATCCCCAGCAGCACCGGCTGTAACCCAAGCGTGAAGACAAACCAAGAACACTCCTCACCCTTTCTTCCACACTCTGAGCACCCTGAGGCCCCAGCCACACCAACGAGACCGACGGTAGACCGACAGAAGACCGGCAGAAGACCGACAAAAGATCGAAGACTGACCATATTACCTTGTAGGTGAAGGTCTAGAGAAGGTTTGCTGGTGTGACGCGAGTTTCAAATGATAGCCAAGCTGAATTTGTGGTGATATTATAGCTCCAGTTGGAGAAACCAATGCTTGTATCGTACTATTATATTTTGTATGAGTCAATACACCAGCTGCAGTTGCCCCTTCTCGTTATATGTCCTCCAAATTGCCTCCCCTTCCCCTTCTCCTACAATGCAACTCAATGCAATAAGATTTATCTTTGACTTTTGACCTTTTTAAAGAATTATCAGGTTGGTCAATACAGAGTTTAGTTTGGATGTCTGTCTGTCTTGCTCATGCCAAATATGATACATGTAGTAAATAAGCCTACTCTTAGAATATATCCATGAGATCCATTTAATATAACACAACTAGCTCACCCTCCCCCCAATAACATTAATTGTCGTGCACTGATACCTTGTGTACACTTTTTCCTGTATGAAGTGAATACCAATACATGTATATACATTCTAAACCAGAAACTGTTGCCAGATTTGATAAAGATTCTGTTCATAGTGAAAATCACTTTAGATTACTAACATTCATGGTTTTGATTTCATTGTCCAAGCACAAAATATATTCACAGAAACTATATCGCAGCAGAAAACCGTTGGAATCAGGACCACTCGCAAAATATATTAACAAATTCTAACAATTGAGAATTTGTGGTTTAAACATGTTGTATTTTCCATATATGTAAATGTATATGAATGTTGGAAGGAAAGCAGGGTAATATTGTACTTTATTGTAAGTCTATTTTGTAGTATACTGGGGATTCTGGTTTTGGATTTGTATGTAGAACTTTTAATGTCTCTATTGATTTGGTTAAAGGGATGGTTGAGTTCTGTTGCAGAGGGCATTACACAATTTTTTTTTTTGTGAGATAATGAAAATGAGTGTCAAATTTGCAAGAACATACAATTTAAATGACATGATCATCTTTGCTTGATCAAAATCGGTTCAGAGACGGCTGAAATATCCATAAATTTAACAATTTCTAATACTTGTGTACCACCACAAATATTAGATAATTTGAAAAAGCCGTTGAAAAAACGAAATAGCGCCTATTACGTCGTATTTCAGCCAATGCCGATGTTGGCATTTTCGTGTTGGTTATATTACGCACAACCAGCTGGCCCATGTATTGCTATTGCACTAGAAATGTCATAGATAAGAATAAGGGCAATAACCATGAACTTTGAAGGCATTTGCGGTCTGAAAACAGAACTCAACTATCACTTTAAGTATCGCACAAACATAAAGAACAGTTCGCCCTTTCAATAAATATGAATTGAATTGAATTGAATGATGGGCATCCTGGTTTGGAGTTGTTTGCAGAACTTCTTGTCTCTATTATTGATTTAGTTTAGTATTGCACAAACATATAGAAACGTTTTGCCCTCTTAATGCATGAGTTATACATGTATGATTTTCTGTTCGTATTGTGCACAAAACAGAGCGCAAAATGTTCCCATTTTATCATGAAGAATCTTTATATAGTTATTGTTGTTATTAGCAACAATTATTTGTATATTTAGAGTTTATTTGTAATCCTAGATAGATTTAAAGCTATTGCCATTATCTTTAAAACCTCACTGCATCTGTCTTCTTAATATCTGTAGTATATTTTGGAAATGACAAAGGGTAGACTTGAGAATGACAACCTGCTTCCATTTTTTAAGAACAGCATTCACACTTTATTTTAACACTTCCCCTTTAGTTTTACACAGTTCTGCTTTTGTGCAATTTTGAGTGTGAATTGAAAAATCAGGATTGAATATTTTGAGAGAAACAGAAATCTGGCAAAGGGTCAGCTAAATTTCTTTTACAAAAGGCAGAAAATAAAAAGTTATTGAAAATTTTCTTCAAAAATGTGTGAACATGTTCAGGTTTAGGCAGATGACACATGAAGTTGAGGAATTTCAACTTTAGGCTGAAGTTGTACAAGGGGATTGGCCCTTGCAATAATAGATAATGGAGGGGGATATTGGAAGAGAAAAGTTGAATTTCTTGTATACAATATATTTTTAGTGCCACTATAGATTTAGTCATTTTATATAATTTTATTATTTATTGGACTAGAAAGTATATTTGGCAGGGCTGCAAACTAAATTTGGGGAAAGGGGGTCCAGATTTAGATTTTTAGTACCTTGGCTTTAGTACCTTACAATTGCGGCTCGGCTACAGCAGGGGTAATATGTGATACACATACTTTGTGTTGAGAGTTTATTCATATACATAGTAGCTGCGCTATATAGATGGAAATATTATTATAGTTATCCATGAAATTGTTGCCAGCACCTGGTATAATCTTCATTGAATCCATATGCGATTATTTACCTCTTTTATTTGGTGTACAAGTGCGTGACTTTCTTGAAATGAACAGAGATATTTCACTATTCAATTTGAGTCTTTTATTATATAACAGAATACTGTATTCATAATAGACATAAATCCAGCCATTTACCATATTGAAATTCTTATGTAAAACCGAGAATTTTATGCATGCATGGTTTGTACTTGTTATGATATTTGGGGGAAAATGTTATGAAGAAAAAAATGAGGGGGGGGGGGTTAAGTCGAACTAAACTCCTAAGTTAGACTTTATAATTATGGAGAGTCATTTGTAGCCTTAAAATAAAATATATTAAAAAAGCTAAAATTCAAGTATCTTACACTTTTTATAAATTCCACATCAAGAACATGAATTCTCCTTGATAATAGAAAATATGTCTGATTTCAAAATGTTTTCATATATGCCATCGATAAGGTCAACTTAGGATCTTTGTAAAACATCCCACTGAACTCATGGTGAATACGAGCAATCAAAGATATAAAAACTAGCATGAACAAAAATGTTGTTAAATGTTTCTCATGTTTGTCCATCCCTGATGGACAAACACTGATGGACAAAGTCCAAGTTGAAGTTGGACATTGTACTTGCATCATTCATTGTCTACATCATTGTAGAACACCGTTAAACCAAGAACTTTACTGACGCAAATTGAGACAAACAAACTTGTCTGTTTTTATCACATAATTTGAGATTTTGAAGAAGAGGGATTTCAAGAAGCTAGACAGAATCTCAGAGGAGCGTTTCCCCAAGAAAAATGGACCCTTTGTTGGCCCATACGTACATGTATAGGCTGTGAAATGCATAGTTCATGTAGTCGACAACCTAATTTTATAATACCTGTATGTTGCTGTGAAATAGATGCAATTTATCTCTTTACTTCTGTTAAAAACGGATTAAAACTAATACTTTAGTGTTGAGGCCCATGAATAGAAGAAAAAAAATGGTCACAACATTTTAGATTTCTTCATGCCTTCAAGTGGAATAATTGATCTAGAAATCAAGTAAAATGTGCAAATTCAATTAAGCTAGAATTGATTGTTAATACATGTACTCCTTTTGCATTAATGTGTTGTGTATTGAATGATTGGGTATAATTAGTAGGCACATATTCATTTGAAAAAGTCTGAAGTGCTATGAAGGTTTAAAAGGGCCTGTTTTTGTGATTTTAACTTGGAAGAACAGTCTCCTCCTAAATTCTGCAATCTTTTTCAGACTGCAATCTTAGAAGATGAAGTGATTTATTAAATGACCATTTTATATATCTAAAATGGACATGAAAAAACATACATAACCTAAAGTCAGATTTAAAAAAAACTCTCATGTCGTGTCGTACGGTTTTATTGAGGCAAATCCTTATCTTATGGAATTCACTTTATAATAAGAGATTTGAATCATCAAGGGAATTGGTATGTACAAAAAATTGTAATAAAAATATAGATCAACATCACCACACCTGCTATTATAAATGATCTACATCAAACCATGGATTGTAAGTAATTTCATAATCTATTTTATGGGGATATTATGTTAATATATACTGTGATGTGTTCTTCAAACAAATATTGTAAAAACCAGGTACACCACTATATATACGCAGGTATTGTATTTTGATCATTTTGGCAGATTGGGATGGTTGTTCTTGTGTATTTGCCGTTTTAGTATGTAATAAATTTGAAGAGAGATATTTTATGCTGACGGTGTAGGCCTAATTCAAATTTATTTCTCTCACGAAAGGCTTTCAATGTGACATTTACGTGTGGGAGTGCTGATAAAAAGAAAACATTTTTCAGTTTGGTTGACCAAAGTCGTTTGAGAGAGAGATGGGGTCGTCGGGGTGATATTTTGTTTTAGTTAGAGAAAGACAAAAATCAACATTTGTTAGGTCGCATACCCGCCCCCCCCCCCACTTATTGTTATATAGGATACGCATATGCTTGTTCCCTCTTTTTGAAAGCACCCCCTATCTGAGGACTGCCATCATTTCCGAACTCCCCTTTCGCGGGCTTTTCCTGCCTTGCAAGGAGACCCCCTAAATTCGGAAAAATGCTCAATGTACCCCCCTAAATTCGAAAAAAAATGCTCAATTTACCCCCCTAAATTCGGAATAATTTCTCAGGAGTCCAAAAAAGAGATGAAAGAAAAAAAAAAAAAAAACCCTTTTTAAAGAAATCTCCTGGTGAAAGTCAAAAACACCCCCTTTTCTTACAATTCTCGGGCCGGACTTTGTCGCACGAAAAGTACCCCTTTACCGGACATTTTTGGTAACCCGCATGCGGTCATTCCGACCCCGGAGTGGGGGGCCGGGGTCGCATAGCGACTGATTTAATAAAATCACCAATCCTGATGAGATTTTAAGCACAATTTCATTATAAAAGAAAGAAGGTTGTGAAACCTAACATGTTACTTTGAATCAGGGGCACATGTAATGTAAGGAGACTATGAGAAATCTACTGTACTTGTGGGGAGATTAGGGGTGATAAAATCATCTTCCGGCCCGCTGCATGTATGATAATTATTATTGTCTCTTATTTGGTTATGTAAATGAAGCTGTCTGCGATTTGAACCTTTGAGCAGTTAAGTAGCATAGTCATGGTAGTTTAAAGGGGCAAAATCGGTGGCCAAAGTGCCAGAAATTTATATTATAGGGGCCACCAGTGTTTTCATGCATTTCAGAGCATAGTACTTTGGCTGAAAATGTTCGTTTGGTGTTGATAGGAAGCCTACTTTGAACAATACTCTGAAATATAGTATAGGACCACAGGGGACCTGAATTTGCTCCCAAAACGGCCCAAATAACCAGCAACTGTCGAGAGGACTGGGATAATAGGTTCACAGTAAATCTCTATTTTGTTTTCAAAATCTAATGATGCATTTTATATATGAGGTTTTGGTAGCCAGTCTTGAGTACCCAAAGTCTGATTTTAAAGATATTATGTCCCTTTTGCAGCCAACATCAAATTCTGTAAAGCTTTGCAGGATTATGAATTTGTCATGTATGTCCCATCTGTGAAATTTAAATAGTTTTCAAATTATGCAAGGAAACCCGTTTACCTTCTAGACTTGACTGTCGGACACTATTGAGTGACTGAATGACATATTTTTTTCTTTGGTAATAATATACATAAAATGAGCTTTAACAGGTACACGAGCATTTGTCTACATCAATATCACTACTTGTAATGGCCAAAATTAAACTGATTGAATCTTTGTGCAGCACAAAACGTACGATCATTCGGTAAAAGGGTCTGAAAATCAGACTATTACTTAAGTGAAATGCAATCACTTAAGTCGATTCGACAACTAATGGTCGTTATTTTCCTACTAAACGCCATTTTGAAGCCCTTTCGTTTTGAGGGAAGTTCTTAATTAGTATCGTTTTTCAAATGCCATTTGAATTTAACCGTTTCATTTTTTTGGCCTGCAAATGGGACATAGTAGGCCTACCTTTTGGCATTTTAATTGAACGTGTGCACGCGGTGCATAATTTGTTATCCACGCCTATCATTAATGGATTCAACGCATCATATAGCATATATGTTTTTAATCTGTAATATTCTAGTCAGTAAATTATACGATTTTCACGCATTTCCTAGTATTTTTTTTTTAAAGCAATTTTGTTTTATTTCTCCAAATGTGTAATACAAACAATAACATACAATTTAATAAAATAAACGTTTTCAATATCGATTGCTTATCTATAAACATAATAATGAAACAAAAACTTGTTTGCAGTATATATATAACTTAGCATCAAAGTAAACGTATAAGTACCTAAACATAATATATATGTCAAATGTAAATGTTATTCACTTATATATATTTTTTTTAATTAAACAAATCTGGAGGTAATTTTACTGGAACAATGTCTGCTCCTCCCTGCCCCCTCCCTGCCCCTCCCTTACACAAACACCCCCACTCACCCGCACACATATTCACCCAACCACCCCCCCCCCCCACACACACACACACACACACACACACACGCACATACACACTACTCACTCAGTGGATGTCTGCCAACATTCTCAACTCAAGAAAAATATACTAAATAAGTAAGTTAACCAGGCTGCAAAATAGAGTTAGTATACACACACAGACTCACACTCCCTCAAACGAATATCACACAAACACACCTTCTTTGTTTGTTTTTAATTTCGTTATCCATATACAGCGTGAATCAAAAAAAGATTTACACGTAGAAAATTGATAATTATTTAGAAAGTCATTGCACATTAAATTGTTATATGTCTTATGAAAGAGTGTTTTTTCCCAAATCGTTTGGTACCATTTTTGTGTGGTATGTTTTCACGCTTGGATGAACAGGAAACATTGTTTGCGAGAGTGCAAAAATCGACTTGCGCCAAAGTTGCCTATGTGATGTCTGAATAAAAGAATTGGGATTTGGGTATTAATTCGGTCTTTGCAGATCCAAATAACATTCCTAACAAAATCAATCATGCCAGACACATCAAATATCGAATGTCAAATATCAACGAACATTTGTGCGCGTGTGTGTGGGTGTGTGTGACTTTGCCCTTTGCAAAAACATATGCAATACATTTCATTTGATACATTCAATTCATTCTCTCACTCCGCTAATTCCAAAATAATACATACTGTAGGCATCACTTCGACGCAAGTCGATTTTTGCACTCTCCTAAACAATATGCCACCTGTTCATACAAGCGTGAACACATACCACACAAAAAGGAAACCCAATGATTTGGGATAAAACACTCTTTCATAAAATGTACAATAATTTACGGTTTATAGATGATTTTAAAAATAATTAGCAATTTTGTAGGTGTAAACTTTTTTTTTTACTCACACGGTATACATTTTTTTTAAAGATATACAACACATTTCAAATGATAAGAAAGTAAGGAAATATCTTACGTATAGACAAATGGGCCGTCTTCCTGGCAGTATTCCATCTCTGGCAATATAACGCAGACACAGATAAATAATACAATCATTATATTCTCGAGAACTTGGGAATGAATATTCTTCTTTATCCCCTCTACAGATCAACTCTATTATGTGCTCCACTACCCTTATGATATCATCCATTTCACCACATAATACATCTTGCGTTCTATGCTGTATAGGCTACTCTAAAGAAGATCTACTATCAAGATATCTCAAATTACCTCCTAATATGCTCCAAACTACTAATCCCAGTTATATATGATATTATATGATTCTTTAAGTTTAAAGATTTAACTATGACACTCACACATCTTTTATGAAACCTTTATTTAAGATTCAGACAAGAGCAAATATATATATATTATGTGTTTGCCATGGAACTTTCCAGACCCTACGAGTTGATAGTATCTATTGTCTAGATAGTGCCTCTAATGACAAAAGAAATAGGGGACATAACTGAGTATTATAAACTAGCTACAACAAAACTTTTGACCGAGAACGTTATAAACATCACATTTAGCATATTTAACATTTCTCAGCTATATATTTCATTGACGATTGAAATCGCCAATATCAACGTTCATAATCACAAAGGACATAACGTTTTCAAGATGACATATTGTATCAACTGCTTTGACAGGTTCCCAGTGATCTTTATCATAGGATTCACCGCTTCTTTTCCATCACATTTTAATATGGAAAGTTGACTTTCCTCACAATCAAATTTTAAATCAAATTGAAGAGCATAATCCAGACAAAAACAATCTTTTTTTTGTCCAGGCTGACACATATGGTGATAACATAATCAAATCATCAAAACAAACTTAACGTAAATTCTTTGTTACGCCAATAATGATGCTTTTGTGGTTATGTAAGTTTGATTTTAAGCATTATATCTTTGAATGTAAACTATGTATACCTAATAAATCCTCTGATGAGGCAAAGACGAAAAAAAATCGAATCATCAGCAAATGAAAAAGTACCTGCAAAGATTTGATCCATCAAGCATCCTTTCCCAAGTGCCTTCAAATTGGGAGATGACCATCAATTATACGTACAAAACAGACAAAGGCGATAAAATCCCACTGTTAGTAACCATAACAAAAAAATCAGAATAAATTCCATTTCATCTGGGTCTAATCTGTTGATCCAATTACATATCCAAAAACAGCTTGCACAATATAGGACAGATCCCTTTTGTAACATTATTTCAAATATTTTTACAAAATTCACTCTATCGAAGGTTTAACTAGTATCTAAAAGAAGACCATACACATTACTCTTCTCATGAACAAATTATACTAACACCATACCACGTACATATAGTTATAGATAATCCCTCGTTAAAACCAAACTGTAAATTCGTACATAGACGATTTATTTCTCTTTTTATAATGACTAATTCAAGATTTTTTCCAATGATACTATTCAAGGTTATTAATTAAATGAAACATTTTGGAATAGAGTTCATCGTGCTTCTAAAAACCTGTGCCAAATCATTGCAGAAAAATAACAAAGCAACATATTTACTTATCACATTTTCTCCATAAATAAATTGATCTGACATAACTCCAGTAAAATCATCCTTCTTATAGACTTATTCAGCTTCTTTATGGCATAACGTACTTCATCCGCTGATATTATATGATCACCTTGCATACACGAATCACATCTACACATTTCATCTAAGGAACTATCGATGTTGATTTTTTTTTTAGAGAAGTCATTCCTTTTCATTGAAAGTCACATTATTATTTACATTTTCAAATTTTCAAGCAAACATTCCAACTTTCTTATCCTTCCCATGAATACCATCTACAACATTAAGATATCTTGTCACCATCATATTAATTATTAGTTATAATTAAGGAAGTTACTATTCGATACTATTATAAATATGAGCTGTTAAACAACAAGTAAATGTAACTTATCGACATTCTCATATTTTGATGATTCGTTACCATGGTAAAAGTGCTGGTGCTGAATCTCATACCAACAATTCTGATTATTACGTGTACACACTAACAATTATGATAGTGCTGAATAGGGGATGGGAGTTACATATTCATTATCTTCATCTATGCCATGAATATGGATTTTCTTATAAGCAAAGAATACCTGCCAGTGTTCTGAATCTGGTTCCCAATCAACCAGACAATTATAAATTATTGTATCCAGACACGTATGTGATGTTTCATATTAATTACATATTACAAAAGTATTTTTTACCCAAAATATTATTTTTCATCACACCGTTTCTATAGTAACGACTTTTTGTTTTACCCTATCGTGTCCTCAAATGGCTCTTATTTTTATTTCAATAACATAGGAAGCTCAACACACATATAATTAGATGCTTTTTATTTGTGTCCATGTTGTTACATTTCATATATGTGGAATTTTATTTATAAAATACATTATTATCTTGGAGGCCACGTCCACCACTTTCCCCCAAAAACTACTTTTTAATTCTAATAGCTAGGAGTCATAACTATCTGATCATTGAGAAAACATAGAATGTCGCCACATTGGACGGGGTCCAAACCTCACCTTTTTTCTTTGTGTAGTCTGAAATATAGGTTAATAGTAAACAGATTTTCAAAATAAAAGTGTAGAGGAGGAAAAGATAATGATAATGATTATTATGTACTTTGTATGTACTATACAGTGCGTCCCAGAAAAAACGAAACCGAGAAGTATCGATGTTCTATCATAACTTAATCACAACTATAATTAATGAATGATACATATTTGGAAAGCTTAGAGTCTCCTCTTTTATGTGATGCTACTCAGATAATGCATATTTCACGCATGAGTGATTAAAAGCAATTTGAAGGAAGGAAACCAAAAAGACATTTGGCGGGCGGTATCTGAATTTCGAAGAAAAATTCACATTTCTAGAAAGTTGAGTTTCTGCCCTTTCATATGACACCTCAATCAGGAAAAATGAGCGAGGGATAACAAAGTTCTGTTTGTTTAAAGCAATGCTTGCATTTCCTTAATTTTATTAAACGAATTCGTTTTCACTGGCTGCCTGCCGTATCAATAAACGAAATTAACAAAAGACTTAACTCCGTTTCGTTGACAATCAGCCGTAGACGAGAGTCTTCATGCATGGCTGATTGTCAACGAAACGGAGAACTTTGTTATTCCTGGCTCATTTTTCTTGATTGAGGTATCATATGAAAGAGCAGAAAATGAAATTTTTAGAAATATGAATTTTTCTTTGAAATTCAGATACCGCCCGCCAAATTACTTTTTGGTTTCCTTCCTTCAACTTGCTTTTAATCACTCATGCGTAAAATATGCATCACGTGAGTAGCATCAACTGAAAGAGGAGACTCTAAGCTTTCCAAATATGTATCATTCATTAATTATGGTTGTGATTAAGTTATGATAAAACATCGATACTTCTCGGTTTCGTTTTTTCTGGGACGCACTGTATGTATGCTTTGGTATTGTGACCCCACCATAAGCCTTGTGCTTTTAGGGAATTTCGCCTCCTTCCTACCTAATATTATAAATATATATTTCATGATATGTTCATTTTGTTTTTGTGAAGGAAATAAATGTTTGTTTGATTAAATTGAAATAAAATGATTATCTGGCCCGAATAGCTACATGACGGGGATGGGAATGGGCACCCCTACTCCAAATTTCCATCAGTGTCAGTTGATCTGCATAACTGTCATAATAATAATAATGAATTATAATAATAATAATAGCAATAATAATAATAATTATTATAAAACGGTGCTTATAAAATAATCAACAAATTTGCTTTTTACCTCCACCCAGTTGAACGGTATTGTAAAATTTGCAATATATTCCCCAGTCTAAGTATATATTCTACTATTAATGGCCTGTCATACCAGTATAGTTAAGCGGTTTGAGTGGCATTCTGGGACAATTTGGTCTGGTTTGTTTGGCGCTCCATCATTTTTCGTAAGTATTTGGTTCTATCTGCTACAAGTCTTTGACACAAATCTGAAGAGTTTCTAGCAACAGGTACCTTCCTAATTTTATTAGTTACCATTGTAATATTGCACCATCGACCATAGTTGTCCAACATTTTCTGGAATGCGTCAACATCCTTGTAGAAGCTTGGACCAATATCAGCTATCTTTCTCCAGAGAGTTCGATTGTAATGATCATATAAAAGCATATCTGCTTTATTCCACTTTCTAATCTTCTCTCGCTGGTCCTCGCTCATCACTGCGCTCAAATCTGATGGACGTTGGTTCATCTTAACGTACAATAAATCTTCGAACTCCCAACACAGGAGACGTTTAAGCAGTACCAACGATTCATCAATATAGTCGGTAAGAAGCACGAAATGTACCTTTTTATCAAGTTCTTCAATCAGTTCCTTTACATGTGTCATATTATCATTTACAGAACTTGAACTCCCAAGAATGTCTACCCACTGTCCGTTTCTAAATTGCCATGTGAATAAACCTTTCCCCTTTTTTGACCAATATTTGAGTGGCCGTTTCATGAAATTATCAACTTTTTGAATTGGTGTTTTTCCTGGGACTTTCATTGTCGCGTAGCCTTTAAAGAAAAAGAAGGCTGACTCCCATTGCTTGATTGGGTCCCGTAAAATGGTAATGAATCTCGGTTCTGGACTCATTAGCTGCTTCAATTTGGCCTCGTTTTTTAGGAAAATGATATGGAATGTCATCAAGTTATAGTTCTTGTAGTTTTTATAATCCTTTTCGGACACTCCCAGTGGTGGCAAGATGGTCTTGTTCTCGACCAGGACAAAGCGGAAATGACCTCTGGTAGGATCACGTTTGTTGGCGATAAAGGACATGTTGTGCCGCTCACCGTATTTGTTCAAAATGGAACTGATAGTGGTGCCTCCAGTTTTGTGAGTCTTGATGAAGACCACACTGTTCACGGGTACGCATTTCCTTTGAAGCACAGGTTGCGGATAGGTTCTGGTCTTGCTTGGGGTCATTACGTCTCTGTTGGATGTGCTATATTTCTCCACCGTGAGGGAATGGTATGCAAGCATGACAACGCATGTAAGAGCAAGAGCCAGGAATTGCTGTGTTTGTATGTAGGAGGGAAAGATAATTAAGACACATCATTGGAAGTGTAATTTTTATACCTTGAACATATGAAGTCGCCGACTTTCATTTCTCAAAAACATTACCGAGAATAAAAAAAATTCAAAGAATACATGTTTCAATGTAATTAGATAGTAGAAAATATATACTTTTTTTATAAAATGGAAGAAGATGACAAATCAAAACGTTATCAAAAAGAATTCATGCCAAACCTCCTTTTTCATCAGTCATGTTTCCTTTTTTGGCATATCAAACAATAAAATTGATATGAGTAAAATGTCGTTATCCTGATACCAGATATTACCCTTTTCCGGCTAGCAATATATACATTCTGTCATCTACTTTCCATCTTCATTGGCCTCTTAATTGGTCCGATTTTCAACAATTTTTTTTAAGGTGCGCAAGACTTCAAAGAAAAAAGTCAGCGAGCGGCGGGGCGCCATCCAAATGCGTTCCCGAGCAATCGGAAAAAATGTGGAGGGGCCCCGGCCTTATTAGGGTTAACCTGCCATTATCGTTAGCGCCCTTCTGGCATAAAGAAATTTTCTTGTTTCGCAACAACTTTGGTTTGCCAAAAAGCCACTGCTACGGCACGATAACTGATAAAACTGACTAATTAAAATGTTAGAAAAAGTATTTTTGATATTTGAATATTTTTATTAATATAATGCAGCTTTGGGTAAAGTTATTTTTTAAAGATGGCTCATTTAGGACACCTTTTTCATCGTTTATTTTCATTTCAGTCCCATACGTTGACATCTGCGTATTTCAATGAGTCGGTCGCATGTCATGCATCTACATCTAACTTAAAGGTACTCTGCCCCATTTGCAGGCCAAAAAAATGAAAAGGTGAAATTCCAACGGCATTTGAAAGACAATACTAATTAAGAACTTCCCTAAAAAAAAAAGGGGGGGGGGCTTGAAAATGTATTTTAGTGGGAAAATAACGACTATCAGTTGTCAAATCGACTTAGGAGCTATAGAGCCATTAAGTAATAGTCTGACTTTTCAAACCATTATAGTGAATGGTCGTACGTTTTATGCTGCGCAAAGATTCAGTTTAATTTGGCCATTACAAGAAGTGGGTTATGTAGACATGTTCATGTACCCTTTCCAGCTCATTTTATGTATGTTAAAGGTATTACAAAGTTTTGGTATGGGGTCATGAATTCGGTTCAAATTAAAATATTGGGAGCATATACGTTCCTACAATATTCATTGATCGTTGTCGCGGTTGAAATCGAGTCTGAAGTTATGAAATTATAAATAATAAACTCTCTATGTTGTATAGCTCCCTCTCAAGGTCAAGCTATTAATTTAGCTTTGAAACAATGTTTCTTGACTAAAATCGACCGATTAGCTATTCCCGTTTGGAAATTATATATAACAACTACATATTCTGAGATTTTCATGGTCGCAGCTACCATTGTACGACCAAAGGCGCTATTTGAAATTTATCCAAATTTACCGGGAGCACCGGAAAATTTTTATATTCAATTTTTCTCGAAAACAGAAGTGTTTTAGGGGCTAATTTTGTTAGTGCTTATAATACGTCCACAGGGATATCCAAATATATCAAAATTGTAAAGATTCACTATCCATCCAATTTTCAAAATTTCCTAAAACTTTGTATTACCTTTAATACCAAAGATGAAAAAAGCCAGTCAGCCAGCCACTCAATAGTGTCTGACAGTGAAGTCTAGCAAGTAAACAGATTTCCTTGCATAATTTGAATATTAGAACGCTGCAAACATTTAAATTTCACAGATAGGACATACATGACATATTCATAATTCCCTCAAAGTTCTACAGAATTTGATGTTTGCTGCAAAAGGGACATAGTATCTTAAAATCTCACTCAGAATTCATGATCTAAATTCATGACATATACTTTCAGATTCTAAGTACATTGTGTCTATTCTAGACTAATCATGTGTTTTAATGATGTTTATACTGATATTTATTTAAATGGAAACAACAAACTAATCTGTCATTGATAAAAGATTTGCCGTGTAGGTAATTAAAGGCCCTTTTGGCGTAAGGCAAAAGATGAGATACGCGTTAAAGGCCTTTTGACATTCATAATTATCTTCATAAATAATCGAATTTCATTAAGTGAAGCACATCATTTTAAAGAGAATGTTGAAATCTACTAGGTGATGTTAATAACTCAATAACCCCCAAAGTCGGGTTAAGGCCCTTTTGGCATAAGGCCGACGTATTATGAGAGTGGAGCGTGTGTGCAGCGCTTTGTAATTGCAAGGAAAAGGCGCTATATCAAATATCTTTTGGATTCGATTGGATGGTGTATCCAGAGAGTAGGCTTTTATAAAATCGGGGGGGGGGGGTAACCAAAGGTAGATGTGCGCGTAAAGAGGTGTTGGAATCTTCAAGCCACTCAGTGAGGAAATATAAAATATAAACAGCTTTGGCAAGGCTCGTGGAAGTAAATGCAATACAAAAGGAAAATGGAGAATTCCCTGCTGTTAACCTCCTTCGGTAAATTTTTGTTAAAGATTGAAGATAATATCTTTGCCCTGGATCCTTCTCTATACCAAATACTAACCCTAACCCTAAACCAACGAAAAATCAATCCCAATCTTAATCTTTAATAATAAATTTTTTGACGAAATAAAAACCCGGACGCCGGAATCACCAAATGTATCCTTAACATGCTTAATAACTAACTACATGTACTTATACGACACTCTTTCATAAGGTTGTTAGTAAGTAATAACCTAAGACATATCCATGGAAATAAAACCGATATACTTAACATAATGTCATTAGATAAGGTGCATACATGTACATCTTTAAATTAAAATTATGACAAAGATATTTTCTAATTTAAAACATATACCAGTAGAGGCTTGAAAGGATTGACAGTTGTGACATCCGTTGATAAGGAAACAAGATGTAAATACATCAAGTCCGTAGATACAATACATCATTAAGAGTCTGCGCGCTGCCCTCATTCCTTTCGATAAGTGTCCCCTTTTTTTCTCATCATCAAACGTGCCGTAATTTCAAGCGATTAAGATCAATTTCCCCCAAAGCTCGCTCGCTACGCTCGTTCGCATTTATAGATGTTATAAATATGTTCCTTAGTAAAGGTCTTTTTAGTCTTCCGTTATGAGAATGTGCTTATAACCCCACCAGGATTGGGTTTTTCCTCTTTATAAGATGTAATTTTTCGCACTGGGACCTAACAACTCTTCAAATTAATCCTCGTTCGCAAATGAATTTTTGGACCACCACACCCAACTTCAAAGTATGATGCTTAACCCTTACTGTACTGGGGGGGGGGGGGGGGGGCTGGGAGGCCCCCCCCTCGACATTTTCGGAGATCGCGCCGCAATTTCGAATTGCCGTTTCATGACTTTTTTCCCTCAAGTCTTACGCACATTTTGATACCATTTTCGTCGAAATCGGATATACCTGTAAGGTGTTACATAACAATTAGTATGCGCATGTCATCAAAAAAGTGCTATAATTGCATATATTCATGTACAAGCAGAAATGTGAAGATATTAATTGATATCAAATTGCTTTTATATGTTTCTCAAAGTAACTTGATGTATTTCAGAACAAAAGAATACATTAGAAATAAAACAATAGATATAATAACAAATAAAAAACAATGAAATACATAAGAAAATAAAAAGTTGAAAATCGCGTCAAATTTGCATAAATTATCATTATTAATTACATCAAATAACTATTTTGTGTTAGAAAAGAAGTTACATATGAATAATGAGTTTCAACATTACAAAAGTGGAGTCTGACAATTTTTGTAATGATTCTAGTACCCTGTATATTTCCAGATAAGATATTCATGAATGCGTAATTTGCATATTCATAATTTATGCAAATTAACCTATGCATTTTCAAATATCATAAAAATAATGAAACCTCATGAATTTGAGATGAAGGAAACATTTATTCAATACATTTTCAAGATTCTTCACAAGTCTACTGACAAATATGTAGAGTTTTCTGTAAAATGCATAAAATTAGCATTTTGCATAATTAATTAGGCTATAACGACAAAAATTTGCATATTAGGAAAAAACTAATTATACCATCTTGTTCCTTACGTAAATATCTACAAACATGCAAATTTTCGCGTTGATCGGACATTCGACGACCGAGATCATAGGGGGGGGGCCTCCCAGGCCCCCCCCCCCCCCCCCCCGTCAGAGAGTGCTCGAAATAGCCCAGTACAGTAAGGGTTAAACAATATCCTATATGATGTATAAATAGAAACAAATAGTGATAATGTAATGACAATATAGGGGTATATATATACCAATGCCCCGAGAAAAAAAAATGTACGGTTTTGTACCTGGGGCCTCACAGTTATGAGGCCATTGCTTGGCCACAGAACCATGACTGTACGCAGTGGGGGCTAGGGTAGGGGCAGTTCTCACAAACAAACAAAAAACAAAGAAAGTGCAATAAATTTCAAATAATTCATTGCATTTTACCCCGGCCCAAACATAAAAAATCCTCTGTACGACCATGCATTATGGCTCAAGGCATGGGCACACATTTTTTTTTTTTTTTTTTTTTTAATCTCACCTTAGTCTCATCTCCCTGATATCGTATGGGGGTCAGTATTAAAGTATGTGTATATATTTAGGGCGTACATTTTAGATCATGTTGTTGTATCGGCATGGCCGGCATGTGTGTATGAGTGTGTGTGTTGTGTGTGTGCGGGTGTGTGTTTGTGTGAGTGAGGGGAAAGGGTGAACGACTGTACCCAATTGGCAACGGCCCATCAGGATACTAATACATGTATGTACTTCAATTCAGATGCTTTTACTAGTCGGCGATTAAATATATCTTTTTAATGCAGCCTAAATAAATAGGCCTTCATATCCTAGACACGGATCAAATTTTGTCTATACAAGAGCTATATAGAGGCAATAGTGACCCGCCACGACAAAATGAGACATAATTGGCTGGGCTAGACCTT